TACTGTTATTATTATTATTATTATTATTATTGTTACTGTTATTGTTATTATTATTATTATTATTATTATAAGGAGACTTTGAGTTAACACTAAGCAGTCTTTTTCTGTTTTTTATTAAATTGGCTGATTTCTAAATGGACTTTTGACTTGATGCCGTCACTCAAAACAAACATTTTAACCAATCTCACGGGTTACAGACGTTAAAATAAAAGTGAAGACACATTTCATTATGGTTTGTTTCTGTGTATGTCAATAAGATCAGTTCCCAGCTGGACGAGAGGCTCTATGAACTTAAACTGTAGCATTTGATTGTGTATCATTGTGCTGATATAAACGTGTTCCTCTTCCTCCCGTTAGGATCGACTGACAGACTGAGGCTGTGCAGATATGAGTGACGTGGCGGAGGAAGCGATGGACAGCTCTGCAGTGTCCGACGAAGAGGTGGAGGAGCGGCAGGAGACGTCACAGAAAGACCAGTCGAGTCCGAACAAAAGCCTCTCCAAAATATCTGGTAAAGAGAAAAAGGGATGGTTCACTGACACCGATGTTGACACACTTAATGAATTACCCCTGTTAGACAGCGATAACTCATTAACATGCGAACCAACCTTATTCTCACCCCGTTGTTGCAGCTGCAGGTGAAATCATCGAGGGCAAGCGGGCGAAGAAGACGGTCGAGAGGCTCGATTTCCAGGCACCGAAGCAAAAGGAGAAGCTCAAGATCGGAGATGGTGAATATTATTAATTATATTTAAACTCTAACAGGCACAACTTTGGTTGTTTACAGGGTTTCTGCAGGTTGTTAAAAAGTCTTTTATATCCAATAATCTGAATTTATGGAATGAAAATGTCTTAAATACAATTAGATATGGTCTTAAATTGATCGGATTGTGAAGTTAATGTTACTTTTGTGAAGTTGCAGTAACTTTATTATGTGTTTTTGAGAAAGAATCGTATTCATCAACTAACAACTGATGAAACTGACATGGACCCAATAAGAACTGATTCAAACTGCATCCCGATCAGAATTAATCAGCACTGAGAACTGCAGCAAGAAAAGGCTCAGAATAGGAACTTTGGGTGTGAAGGCATTAGAGTCGCACAGGAAAACCTAAAGCAGTACAGTCAGTAATGTTCTGTATTCAGGTTGTGAGCCCGACTCAGCACTAACAATGTGGACGTTTCTTTTGTCGGTATGGACGTGAAATAGATGTTAAATTGAGTTCTTAATCGTCTTTAAAAGGAAAAAGAAGTTCATAATTTGTAGTTTGGGAGTGCCTGATGGTAAGAAAGACAAAGATTTAACATCCCATAATCCAACTGACATCACTATTGTTAACACAACAACAACAACAACAAAAACAAACAGTTCTTCTTCCGATGTTCATTTAGTTTTTCTAAAGGAGCCTATCAGTCGTTTTGTATAAGAAATTAAACTTTATCATTATTATAGCCAATAATTCATCAGTTATTGTTCCCATTGTACTTCCCTAATATTCATATTTGTTTATCCAGTTATCCAGTCGTAAACTGATGATTAAACTTTATGAAAACTGTCAGTGTATTTATTCCCATGTTTCCAGGTACTGGAGATAAATTAGGAGACATTCCTCGCACCGGCTACCAGATCTCCAAGATGAAGCTAGCTGACCTGAAACCTCTGCACATCATCCTGTTCGACAGACCGGGAAAGGTACCAACGTCTGGAGACTGTCGGTGGAAGTTTAATGATCGACGCACTTTCATATTTATTAACGTAATGTTTGTTCTTTTTTCAGATGGCCACATTAAAGAAGAACCTGCGTCTTTTCAACGGCTTTCCTTTTGACGCGGACAGCGAACAGTACGCCAAAAAACGAGAAAAACTTCTCAAGTAAGTTTCTGTGCAGAGTTACGCTCAGTTTATTACCTCTTCGGTCTTCATCAGAGAGGAAGAATGGGAAGAAACTGTAGTCTTAGTCTAGCTTTACACTTACTGGGACTTTATTTGCTCATTACGCTGCAGATTCTTTCTGATTTATTGTAATTAAACACACAGTCACAGTTTTACCTCAGTTCAGATCATAGTGAACCAGTTTTACAGCAGACAAACTTTACAGCTAACTGGGTTATAGCGTCTTTGTCCTCTGAATCTGAGCTCCTGATGGGGCAGAGTTTCTCTCTCTCTTGATCGACCTTTTAATTCGCTGCAGTTGGATGTGAAAACGCTCTACAGATGTTTTTCCTCTCACTCGTTCTTCGGCTCTGCGTGAAATGATAAATTATAGTTGCAAATGAAACATTATAAACATTATGAGACATTATGAGAGCAGCAAGTTCAGATTTAAACACAAAGGAAACGTACAGTTTGTCAGTTTCTGTCTTTTCTTTGTCTCTCTGAATGCAGGAATTCACATTTTACCAACCCCATACTGAGGTTTGTCTGTGGTGTTTTGGATCTGGAGAAGAAGGGAACCCACTCAGATCTGGTCGACAGGATCATGAATTTCCTCATCGCACCGAAAAACAGCGGGAAGGTGAGCAGCGAGCTCAATCGCATTTAGAATAAAGAATCGGTTGTAGGTAGTGTTGTTTTTGGCGGCCTGTTTTAATTTTAGTTTTAGTCTAGTCTTTGTGTCAAACTGTCATTTTAGTTTTTATTAGTTTTAGTCACGTTTATACTCTTTTTAGTCTAGTCAAGTTTCAGTCGACTAAAAGTCTGAGCATTTTAGTCTTATTTTAGTCGGAGTTATCCATGAACATTTCCGTCTAGTTTTAGTCGACAAAATTGTATTTTAGTCTCTTTTTAGTAATGCAGTTCTATTTAACCCAGTTAATATAGTACAAGTACCTAGTAGTATAGTATAGACAAAACCAAAATTTTCTTTAAGTCACCCATTTCACAAGTCAAACAAGGTTATCTTATTATTATATCATTGTTACCTTGGCATGAGTTTTCTAAAATAGAAAGTAACGTTACGTTAATGTCTTGACTTACCTTGATTTCATTATGGAATACCTTGAGATGTCTCTTAAGATTCGTGGTGTTTTTTCCTGCGATTTTTTTGTGGCCGCATTTCTCCCCATATTTTTCCACAACACATTCGGTTTTATTTTTCACTTCTATGTAATGAAAGTGTGTCCAAATGTCGTTTCTTCTTTTTCTCCCAAAGACGAACCCCCCAGGCCATCGGTTCCTTTCTTTGTGCCAGACTTAACTTTGGTTCTTGAGTTGTCGTTAATGTTAACCCACCGCAGCTCCATCTTCTAAATAATGCTGCGAGTGGGGATTGAGGAAGTGACGTCGCCTCAGAAAACAAAATAATATGCAAAAAAAAAGCAAAATAATAATAATAGCGAGACAAAATAACGTTATAACATTTCGTCTCGTTTTGATCAACGAAAATGAAGAGATATTTTAGCAGTTTTTATTTTGCAAACCACATTTAGTCCCGTTTTTATTCGTCAACAATATTGCATTATATATTTGATTATAGTGTTCGTCACATGACCGCCATTTACATTGTGTCTCGTCACGTGATAAAGTTTCCTTGTCGACGATATTTAGTCCAAATTTTCGTTGACGAAAGCAACACTAGTTGCAGGTTAATATTAGTTTGTCCCTCTGCCTCTAGTAGATTGTAGACTATTGCAGAACACAAACAGAGACTCTACAGTCCCTCGACTGTACAAAATCTCATAAAGCAATAATATGTAATGCTAACAGTGATACAAGTGTGACACAAATATTACTGATTCACTATAAAACTGCTGGGTTAAAGTAAACGCTGGCAGCTGCTATAGTCGAGGTTATTAATGGGAAACGTTGGCGTAGAGTTACTGTTTGATTGTTTAGGGGGGGTGTTCGGACGGGGCCTGCCCCCACTGCTAAAGAAAAATCCAAGAGGAAACACTGTTGTATAATTTAATCAATAAGGAATATAACGTTATATGGTGGGACAGTTTTTAATCAAGGTACAAATAAATGAAGATAAGTGAGATGGAAAATGAAGCGTAATGCTCTTCTTGAACAGCAGACGGCGCCTTCTATTTTACTCTGTCGTCCTGCATCGTGTCAGTGGCTGTATGGAGGCGCAGAGACAGCAGTTTCACTTTCAGCACAGTTTACACACTAAATAGAAATAAAAGGAGATTCTATAATTTGATAAAGAAAATATATTTGATAGATTTTCGCCAGTCGTTTGTCTTTAATCTCATTTTGTAAAAATACATTTTGTAAGTTTTAAAAGCCTGTTTAGTTCTAATGAAGTGACTGAATGTGTTTGTCCTTCGTCAGCGTCTGCCCGTGAAGAAAAAGAGGAAATCCAAGAAGAAACTGTCGGGCGACAACTCGACGGCCAAGACCAAGAAGAAGAGCAAACCCAAACCCAGGAGCACATCGTCCAGTCCCAAGAAGTCCAAAACGGGAAGCAAATCCAAAGCCATCGTCATGGACTCGAGCAGCGACGAGGACGACGACGAGGAAGAGGAGAAGGCGGTGGCGTCGGCCGAGGCTGAGGGATCAGATACAGAGGACAAACCTTCAGAGAAAGAGGAGGAGCAGTCTGACAAATCAGAGGAGTCGGCAGAGGAGGAGGAGGAGGAGGTAAGGAGGATGATGATGATGAAGATGATGATGCTGATGATGATGATGATGATGATGATGATGATGAGGTGAGTCTTAAAATAAATAAAATAAAACAACTGGAGTTGAACGATGAAAGTCGACTGAAGAACTGAATCTGAATTATCTTACAAACATTTTTTTGTCAGTCTCCCAAATCGAAGTCGGCTCGAGGGAAGTCGGACTCCAAGAAATCTGCACCGGTGAAAAGAAGGAGGACACCGGCGAAGAAGACGGGTCCGCCTAAAAAGAGAGCGAAGAAGGAAGTTTCAGAAGAGTCGGAGTCCGACGCCGACAGTGAAGCCAAGGAGAAGGTAAAAGGAACTCTGGTTGAATAGTTTTACAAGAACTGAATGAGAGTCGTTGGAAGCTCAACAGTTTTCTGTTTTACAGCCCAGAAAAAGGAAAACGGCTCCGGTCAAACCCGCCGCCAAGACCAAGAAGGCCGACAGCAGCAGCAACAGCAAAAACAACACCAACACAGGTGAGGTGGAGCTGATCGGTGCAGCGCCGGTAGTTCTGACTGATCCCCACTTTATATATTCACCCCACTGAATGCTGGGTATTCTGTGCTCCTCTCTCTTTCCCTGCAGCAGAAGACAGCTCAGACGACGACGAGCCGCTCATCAAGATGATAAAGAAGGCGCCGACGGACGAGCAGCTGAAGGAGACGGTGCAGACTCTGCTGAAGGAGGCCAACCTGGAGGAGATGACCATGAAACAGATCTGCCAGAGGGTAACTGAACCGCTCTGAACCGAGAGCGCCGGGTTACGGTAGCGGTGTGTTCATTCATTCATTCATTCATTCATTCATTCATTCATTCATTCATTCTGTCCTCCTGCCTGTGTGTTTTAGGTGTTTGACACCTACCCAGACCACGACCTGAACAGCAAGAAGGACTACATCAAACAGACCGTCAAATCTGTGAGTACACACACACAAATCTGCACTCAGTGGAGCTGACGCTGTTTTGAGAATTGTTGTAGTTGCTGTTGTTCTCCAGCAGAGGTCGATGTAAATAGTCTGAGCTGTTACTCACAGGCAGTGGCCAAATTCATGTGCTCAGTCTGAAGCTCCTGGAAAGGATTTGTTAGAAAGAGCGGGAACTGTGTGTCGGTCGGGCTGTCGCTGTTGATGAACACAAACTGTAGGGGGCATTTATGTGGTTACTCTGGTGTTCCTCTTTTATTCACGCACTGAACACCTGATACTATGTTCACTTCCTGTTTATTACTATTGAAAACATCAGCGCAACATAAACACAAACAAGTGAAGTGATTTATTTACAAGGCCAAAACAACAAACAAACAGAGCTAACTGCTTCAAACCAAATGCGGACTAATCCATTATTGAACGTAAGAGTAAAACAAAAGACACTTACTAACCCTAACTCCCGAAGCTAATGGAAAAACACCCCTACAACACCCACTATATACAACCCCGAGAAAAATAGAATAATAATATTTACAAAACTCTTCGCTTCTCTACGGACCGAGGGCAGAACGAGGCTGCTGTCGGGTTTACTGGCGTCCGACTGCTGCGAGGTCCAGACGTTTTAAACACGGCGGGTGTTGCTGATCACCGAGCCCACGTAGTTAACCAATCAGGAGGAGACCTACAGGTTGCCCTCAGAGGTCCCCAGTGAGACAGGCTGCACACTCCTGTAGTATAAAACAGGGACAAAACACAGAGGCACACCACAGGAGAAACAACACAAAAACAACAAACAGTTGTTTGTACCAGTCTGTAAACATGTTTATTTCTGCTGTAACATGTTAATATGGGGCTTTATGGAGACTGACTCACTGCCTGGTAGTAACAGAGTTATCAGGATGCAGAAGAAACTGAACTGTAATCCAAAAGAAGAATGAGATCAGAGTTCTGTTTAGTAAAAATTGGGATTATTAGCAGGATTACAGTTTTAGAATAAAGTTCTTTCTGATGCTAAAATGTTTCCCACCACTAACTCCGCTGTTTCTCTTTGTTCTTCATGTGTCTTTAAATGTTTCCTCACAGCTCATCACATGAAGATCTGAAGAAGAATGAAGTCTCTGCTGGAGGAAAATCTCCTTTTTCATTAGTTTCATATCCGTTTGTTTTCATACAAAACAGTTTTATACATGATTATGTTTTTTATTAATGTGTGTATAGATTTTCATATTAACTCAACAGTGTTCATCTTCAGCCTTTCTACGTTCTCTGACAGCGTTAACGTTCAGAAAGTGAACAGCAAAATAAAACCGTCAGGGAATTTATGACCGTTGCTTTTGACTCGCAGGACTTCACGTTTTTATTTCTTAAGGTTTGTACATATGTTTCTAATCAGGTCAAAGTATTTTTGATTAACACTTTTATTTTTCTGGAGTTTTGTTTGTTTTCTTTGTTTTTCTCTGTCAGACGTTCATTTACAATTTAACTGTGCTGAGTAATTAACTTGATTAAAATGTTACCTCTTTTCAACAAAACTGTCTCCGTGTGCTCTGAGAACATCTACAGGTCGAAGGTCGCCACATTTCAACATGTAAGCCGCCGTTTACAACACAAGATCAATTTTCTTCTTTCACCTCGCCCCTCGTGAACAAACGCAGGTTGCTACAGGTCTGCAAAGTACTGGAAAGACTGATTAACAAGTAGCCCAGCATTCAGAGAACGTAGTGTTCTAGAGGGGTAATAGGGTACTATGAGCTCTTTCAGATATGAAGGGGCCTGACCATGAAGAGCTTTATAGGTGAGGAGGAGGATTTTAAATTCTATTCTACATTTTACAGGGAGCCAGTGCAGAGAAGCTAGTACAGGAGAGATGTGATCTCTTTTTCTAGTTCCTGTCAGTACTCGTGCTGCAGCGTTCTGAATTAATTGGAGCGTTTTAATGGACTTATTGGGGCAACCTGATAATAAAGAGTTGAAAGACTTTGCTGACATGTAGAATATAAATAAAAGATAAAAGTCTGTAAACTTTAATATGAAACGTGATCAATGTTCAGATGTTGCATCACAAGTTAATCTGATCATATAATGCTTTGTCACAACTCTACTTCAAGATGGTATTAAACATACTGTTTCTATATATAATACCACAGTTCTATCACATTTTATAATCTCTGTCCCATTTATTCAAAATCCCACAAAGTTGTGAATGTGAATTGGATTTGTATAGTGTAGACCCTCTAGTGATTAAAGTTTTAACATTATTCAATTTCTGTTCCTATTGCAATATGAGATTTGACAGTTGTCTAATTTGGATGAAAGAGTGTGCTGTTGTGTAAATAATAAAACTTATTGGTGATAAAAGAGTAGAGGCAACATGATCGATGGTAAAATGTTGTAAACTATCACCAGTTGATCTCCACACTGTGTTAAACTGCAGACTATGTCTCCTTACACACTGTGTGTCAGTATAAACTCTTCTCAAATAGACCTGACATCAGATTAATAAGGATTCATAAAACGACAGCAAGAACATGTATTGACATTTGCAGTGTTTGGACCAGGCATCGACACAGTCACCTACTGTCCGGAGATCTCCGTCGCAAATAAAATGAATTCAAACTCCGTTAATCTTATTAGACGTCAGAACTGGAGTGTTTACAGTGGTAAAGATTTCATTCTGGTTGCTTAAAATGATGAAAAGAAGTCAATTCGGGCAGTATTTCTAGTGTACAAATCTGCATCAATGCTCGGGAATATCACCAGTTAAACGGCCCGTTCATCGCTGCTTGCAGCTTTAATAGTATAAATGTTCTTATAAAAGACTCATGAATGGAAGAAAGAGCAGTAAAAGATCATTGTTGACAGCCTTTCAGAGTTACATTACATAAGTTATGTTCACCATCAGACACACAGCTCAGTGTGACCCCCCCCCTGCTGAAATCGAAAGTAAAATCGGAGCTCAGCCTCAGTGCAGCGGAGTCCTGACTGTAAGTTTATTGTCTGCTTTCTGACTGTAAGTTTATTTTCTGCTTTCTGACTGTAAGTTTATTGTCTGCTTCCTGACTGTAAGTTTATTTTCTGCTTTCTGACTGTAAGTTTATTTTCTGCTTTCTGACTGTAGATGATCCGTAAGATCAATGTGTGGAGTTTCTTTGGATGTTTGAATAGAAAGCAAACAGAATATGGAAGCACATTTCCGCCATCATGACGGGAAAAATTAGACTAGGCCTGTGTGTTGTTTCCTCATATGTTCTAACGACAGAAGCAAATTAATGAGAGAAAGTTTGGCAGACCAAATCATTAAAGACTACTTTAGACATTGATTTACAAATCGTGAGATTATAGCGGGTTTGGAGGAATCACAGAATATTAAACTAAGTCTCTGGACCTTTGAGAGAAAGATCATTAATATTTCTCTGTGCCTCCACTGTTTACTGTCTGCAGTGAAACTGAACATGTCTGATATTTGATTGATGATCTCTGTTCATCATTTGTTTTAGAATAAGATAATAATACAAATAATAACGATACAATAATGTTACAATGTTGAGAAATATGTTTTATAATCCTTCAGTGTTGTGGCGTATCTTCGGTTGAATCATTAACAATAAGCTCCACCCAGTTTGGTTCCTTCCTCTCCAGAGATCAACGCCTGTGAACAACAGGTATGTGTATGTGGCTCCATCTAGTGGTTAGTTATAAAAACAGCACTGTTAAAATAAGCATTTGGATAAATCTACAGTCTTATATTACAAATGTAAGCAGATTTAACAGCTTTTATTGAGGGACAAGAGATTTTAGTAACATATCAGTTATATGACAAATATGTGATATTTTGCTCTCTTAAAATCGATATTATTATACATTATTTTTTATTTAATTTTTAAATGACGTACTCATTCCACATATTTGTTAGTTGTATCTAAAAAGAAAGACAATAGCAGAGAAGAGGAGAGAAGCCTCACTCATCACCACACAATGGTCCACCATACCCACTTATCCATGAACACATAATTCATGAGGTTATTATAAAGTTAGAGAGTTGTAGAAAAGAGCCGAGGAGCAGAAATGTGCCTCTACTGTGAACAACCTGACCGTCCCAGTGTGGTAGACAGACATGTTCAGGTAATAATAATAAACTAAAGGGCCATCTGTGTGTCAGTGTCTGCTGAAAATGAACAGACTGACAGAGAGAGATTCCTTCCTCTATAGTTAGATTTTGCTTTTAAAATGTGAATAAGTTGTGAATATGACAATATCAAAATATTCTGAATAAACAATTCTGGTTTTTAATGAAGCTCTCAGTGTTTGGAAGTGATGCAGACACAAAAACCTTTAAGATCTGAGTAAAGTTTAGTGTAATGTGCTGATTACTGATCTCTGTGTCTCAGACTTACTGAAGGCCTCGAGATGAGTGAACGTGGAGCCGAAGGATCAGGATCAGGATCAGGATCAGGATCAGGATCAGGATCAGCCTCTTCTGCAGCTAGTTTTGTTTATGTGAAGAGTGACCGCTCCAGAGAATATCCTCCAGATTTAAGCACTGAATCCAGACCTTCACAAACAGGGTGAGGTATCCAGTTCTCCTCTAAACATCTGTGAGCCTGACTCTCTGCTCTGACAGTAACAAATAATGCAACTGAATGCAATGTCATAAATAACAGAATCTCTACAGTTCAACATACATATCACATCAACACACACAAAAGACTGTGTTTCTGTTTTCTATCAAATATTGGTTGTGTTCAGTTCTGCTGAAACATCTGTTGTAGTCTATAATGTAATTAAATCACAGATTGATGGAAGTCAAGAAGAGTATATCAGAGGAAGAACCAGCATCTTCTGCAGTCAGTTCTGTTTCTATGAAGAGTGACCGCTCCAGAGAATATCCTCCAATGTTCAGCACTGAACCCAGACCTTCAGAAACAGGGTGAGATCATCAGTACTGTCAGAATATATACACAACATTATGACACATAAAATATGCTAATGCATACCCATCAGTGATGTTGCAGTGTGATGACCACACACTGAATACAGATCTTCATCACTGCAGCAAAGTAATGGAGATTAAAAAAATGAATGAGTTTCAGGTAATAATAATAATAAACTTTATTTATAGAGCACCTTTTGAAACCAGAGGTACAAGGTGCTGTACAGTGCAAACATAAGAAAAACAACAACTATGACAAACATTCAAAGTATAAAACAAGAAATAATATAAAAACAATAAAACTACACACAGGGCAAAACGAAACAGATCAGTTTCAAGCCTCTTCTTAAAGCTAAAATCAACTGATTTTGCTCTTTTTATTATTATGGGAAGGCGGTTTCAGAGGATGGGAGCCACAACTGCAATGGCTCACCTTTGGTTTTAAGCGTAGAGTTCACACTTAGACAAAAAGCAATCAGGCTTGTCCAGAGAGTCAGATCCAAAACAGCTAAATTTTGCAAAGTTGCTAAAGAACAGAGAAGATTCCAGCTGCGGCCGTGCAGACTTCCTCCAACTGCACCCTTTTATCAAATTGTCAGCGCCGAAGGCAGTAAAGCAGCTGCAGAATCCAAACCATACCTCCTCAAAAACACACACATAGACCATAGCAGTAAAACATGTTAAATGTTATTAAAGGTACTAATTTTAGCAAATATTAAGCAGAGAAAATGAGTTGTGTTAACATAACTGCTGAAAATCTATACATAATGTTTTTATACATTTTATAACCCACTTACTAATCTCACATTAGCCTATACTTTTGGTATGTTGAGATAAATGCCATTACTTTTTGGACGCAGTCTCTTCCGTGACCCAACCAGACCACACACCAACCAGTTGAAAGTTTCTGTCAACGTTCTTCACTTTCGTCCTTTATATTCGTGCTGCGGCTGCAGCTGGATATACTTGAAAAAACTACCTCTACAACAGTAGCTTTTTTCTTGATAACATTTTCATTCAAAGTTTTCTTTCAACAGACAATTAAGATAACATGTTATTCAGTTTCTCACAGGTAATGCTTTCCAAGGCTCTCAAAGGGTGGGAAAATAAAAACATATCAAAACATCCTTACTCTCTGCTCAGGAAGTGACCTGTAACCTCTGGCAGCATCATGCGACTAGAGATAGAATAGAAATAACGATACAATAATGGAACTGTAAGCAATACCATAACATGGAGACAATAACATAATCTAGTTCAACATTCATAAAACAACACACACAAACAACTCTGTGTTTCTGTTTTCTATCAAATATTGGTTGTGTTCAGTTCTGCTGAAACATCTGTTGTAATCTATAATGTAACTGATCTTCACAGATGGACTGAAGTCAAGAGGAAGGGTAAAGCTAAGGGAGGATCAGCGTCTTCTACAGCCAGTTCTGTTTCTATGAAGAGTGACAGCTCCAAAGAATATCCTCCAATGTTCAGCACTGAACCCAGACCTTCAGAAACAGGGTGAGATCATCAGTACTGTCAGAATATATACACAACATCATGTTTCATACTGGAAAACATTTCCAAGACCAGCAGTTAAAGATTCTCACATTGAGTTTTAATAGTTTTGGTCGGAAATGCTCAGTCTCAAATACACAATACTATGAATCCTAGCAGTATGTAGTTGTTTTGATTCACAGTTGGGGTTTCAAAACATCAGCAGTGAGCTGTAGGATTGTACAACCTTGAACATCCCCTCCAAATAATTGAAAAGTGTACGAGTCTGCTGATTTTGTTATATGGTAGATTTGTAAGGGAAACCCCACCTTACTAAAATAGCAGATCATCCTGTATTATATTAATGACTCTAGATAAAATTAAATAATAATCATGAGATTTACACAATGTAGATGATGTGTTCAGTGGACATAGTGAAAATCAATAAAATAATGTATTGTTTTCCCAAGCTGAAGGCAGAGGTCAGTAAGTGTCAAAATGTCTTACAAACACACCGACAAACTCTAACAATTGCAGACTAACACTGTCTAGTTGTCATAAATTGTAATACTATTTACTCATAAATTAAAAGTTTAATTGATAATTTTCACTCTTAATTAATAATTGTGCAATAGATTAACTGTTTACCTCAGCAATGACAACAAAAACTAATGCATGCTTTAATAGAAGATGTTTTTTGATTACTATCTCTACTTTTTTTAGGGAGACATCTACATCAAGCAATTATCAGAACCAAGACACCCTGAAGGTAAGGTTTTTAAAGATATTTTGGGGCTTTTTATGCCTTTATTTGATAGGACTTGAGGGCTGCAGGTTGTAATCAAACCCAGGTCACTGTGGTAATGACTCCGCCTATGTGGGGCCACAGGGTACACGGTAGCTCACCTGGTTTTATGATGTAGACCTATACTATTAGGGAAGAGGATACTGACATGTAAAAATCTGATAAAAGGTTTTGTGTTCTTTGTCAGGGGTTTGAATCTAAAGCCATGGCATTTTTAAGAAAAGCTCTGAGAACCCATAAGAAGGTCCTTTCTGGAAAACAACAAGGATTGCTGCAGGAGGACGTACTTGATGGTCAACCGGTTGAGTCTGCTGATGAAACAAATGAAGCAGCTCTGAAGATTGCTCTCCATATCTTGAGGACCATGAATGAAGATGAACAGGCTCACTCACTTGAGCAAAGTAAGAGACTGCTTGTTACCTTAAGTGTTTGTGCTTCTTGAACTTTGTCTATAGTCTTTATATATTAATATAAATATTCCACACCTATTAGATGAACAACAGTGACATTTGGTGTTGTGCTAACATTATGCTTACATTGGTTTGATAGCAGGCTAAAAACACAAGTGAGCTGAAGCTGATGAATGCTGAACCAAACGAAAAGACACATATTCTAGACCTAGAGGGAAATTTGAGTGGAGCTGGCAATATAGAGCTGAGCTTGACCAGCCCAGTGTGAGATGTCTTAAAATGATCATTGTCTTTCAGAACTGACAGGGTGGTTAACAGAGGGATACGCACATAACATATTGTTCTTGTTATTAATGTTACACATTTCTGTGCTGTTAGGTCATTATGGAGAGCTTCCAATGTACCGAAAGAAACTCAGATCTTCCCTGAAGAGGAAGAATGAATTCATAATGGATGAGATAAACTCACAGCAGTTGCCTGTCCCTCTTAGAAAGATTTATACAACACTCTATCTGTTAGAGGGGGACAGTGGAGAGGTCAACAATGAACATGAAGTGAGACAAATTGAGAAAGCTTTCAACAAACGGAAGTCTTCAGACACTCCGATCAAGTGTGAAGACCTCTTCAAGCCCAACCAACAAGACAAACCCATCAGAACGGTGCTCACCAGGGGGATAGCAGGCATTGGTAAAACTGTGTTGGCACAGAAGTTCATGCTGGACTGGTCAGAGGAGAAGGTCAATCAAGACATCCAGCTCCTGTTTTCACTTCCTTTTAGGGAGCTAAATTTGATTAAAAATGAAAGAAGAACTTTGATGGAGCTGCTCTATGACTTCTCTCCAGGCCTGAAAGAATCTGGAATAAAAGACCTGACAATGTGTAAAGTTCTGTTTCTACTGGATGGTCTCGATGAGTGCAGACTCCCTCTGGATTTCAAAAGAAATGAGAGATGCTGTGATGCTACACAGCCAGCATCAGTCGATGTGCTGCTGACAAACCTCATTGCAGGTAACTTGCTACCAAAAGCGAATCTCTGGGTAACTACTCGACCTGCTGCAGCCAGCTGTATCCCTCGAGAGTATGTAGACCGCGTGACTGAGATACGAGGCTTTAACAACCTGCAGAAGGAGGAGTACTTCAACAAGAAAATCGATGATGAAAACTTAGCCAGAAGAGTGATCGCAAACATAAAGTCGACAAGAAGTCTCTACATCATGTGCCACATGCCGGTGTTTTGCTGGATTTCGTCTATTGTCTTGGGAGAAATGTGCGCCAAAGCAGGCGGAGGAAAAATGCCAAAGACTTTGACTCAGATGTACATCTACTTCCTGGAACATCAGACCACTCAGAAGCATGTCAAATACAGCGAAGAGCAAGAACTGGACTCCCAAGGGGATAGCAAGGTGATTATGTCACTTGGGAAGTTGGCCTTCCAGCAGCTGGAGAAAGGCAACCTGATCTTCTATGAGGACGATCTTAAAGAATGTGGTATTGATGTCAAAACAGCGTCTGTCTACTCAGGAGTGTGCACTCAAGTCTTTAGGGAAGAGTCCTGCATGCAGCAAAAAGTCTTCTGCTTTGTTCATCTGTCTGTCCAAGAGTTTCTTGCAGCTTTGTACGTCCATGTGATGTACAAGGTCAATCGTGTAAACCTGATGATCAAAGATGGGATGGCCCGAGCCAAGTCTGTATCTGAACTGCACAAAACTGCAGTGGACAGAGCCTTACAAAGTCGCAACGGCCACCTGGATCTCTTCCTGCGTTTCCTCCTCGGACTCTCTTTGGACTCCAGCCAGGTTCTGCTCAAAGGCCTGAAGATTCAGGTAGAAATCTGCGACTCCCAAAGTCATGAGGAAACCATCAAGTACATCAAGGAGAAAATAAGTCAGACTCGTCCTCTAGAGAAGTACATCAATCTCTTCCACTGTCTCAATGAGTTAAATGACCACTCTCTGGTGGAGGAGATCCAGAGCCACCTGGACTCACACAGAGACTTGGTGATGGACAAAAGTTCTGCAGCTCAGTGGGCAGCTCTGGTCTTTGTGTTGCTGACCTCACCGGAGAAGCCAGAGGAGATCCAGCTCAAGAAATACTCCAGAACAGCAAAAGGCCTTAACATGCTCCTACCAGCCATCAAAGCATGCAGATCCGCCATGCAAGTGTCTTTCATAATTTTCTAATGACTCATTTATCACTTGATGTCTTGTCCACCTTTTGTAATAACAAGTTGACTTTGTCTTTCTGTTTATCAGGCTGAATGATTGCAATCTCACTGCAGACTGCTTAGAGGTGCTGTCCTCCACGCTCAGCTCGAGCTCTAATGAGCTGAATCATTTAGATTTAAGTGATAACAACATACAAGACTCAGGAATCAAGCACCTCTGCAACGGACTGCAAAGCCCAAACTGCAGACTGAAGACGTTGAGGTGAGTCGATGCTGAAACTGAGATGCAGCTACTGTGATTGTGTACAAATATGATTTGGGTTCCTGGACTCAATTTGAGTTTGTTTGAGGTGCTCTTTAGATACGGATACATAAACACAAAACAAGGCACAAAAAACTCTTTTAAACTCTTATTGTCATGGCATGGTCCAGTTAGACACAAAAACAGATGTTTGATACGTATTTTGAGAGGTGTGATTAAGCTTTGTGGTAACTTTTGATGATGTAGTCCGGGTTATTGTTATATTGGATTTTGGTATATTGCAAGGTGTTCATTTGTCCATGTTGTTTGTCCCTTCAGGCTGAACCGATGCAATCTCACTCAGAAATGTTGTAAATCTCTGGCTTCAGTCCTGAGCTGTCCTTCATCACATCTCAAAGAGCTGGACTTGAGTGACAATGACATTGAAGTCTCTGGAGTGCAGCTACTCTGCAATGGACTGGCAAATGTGTGCTGTAAACTGGAAACCCTCAGGTATAACAGAGAAAACTATTAATTCATGTTTAATATTTATGAAGGGTATCAACCACCGGTTAAGGCTGAGTTCTGTCTCTCTGTCGCAGGTTGTCGTTCTGTAACATCACAGAGAAAGGTTGTGCTTTTTTGGCCTTGGCAGTGAAGTCCAACCCATCCCACCTGAGTGAACTGGATCTGAGCTACAATCACCTTGGAGAGTCAGGAGTGAAGCTCATCTCTGAAGCTCTGGAGGAAGGACGATGTGAAGCTAAACTCAGGTAAAGAGCACAATGTTTGTGTTTTTATTGTTGTAGTGTCTCCTGGTACAGAATGCAGGCTGATAATGTGTTTATCTGCCCCACAGAGTCGACCACAATGCAGAACACTGGTATAAACCAGGACTGAGACAATGTAAGTACATTTCTGAGCTAAAGTCAGGTAGGAATTGATATGTTCCCAATATGGACCGGTGCCAACCAATCAGAAGCCAGTGTGATCTGTGGCTGTGGTATAAATTGTCATTGTAGATGTTAAACTCTTCTTCCTGCCACCAGATGCATGTAAGCTTACAATGGATCATAACACCGCTCACAAACGTCTCATCCTCTCTGACGAGCCCCCAACAATTACCCAGGGCAGCGAGAAGCAGCCATATCCCGATCACCCTGACAGGTTTGACTACTGGTCCCAAGTCCTGTTCAACGAGGGCCTGACAGGCCGCTGCTACTGGGAGGTGGAGTGGGAAGGAAAATGGGCAGCGATCGGAGTGACCTACAAGGGCATCAGTCGCAAAGGGCCAGAAAATGACTGTGTGATAGGCTACAATGGCATATCTTGGAGTCTGCACTGTTCTTCTAAAGGCTACCATGTGTATCATAACTTCGAGAGCATCGTCGCTCGTGTCCCTCTGGGTGATTCCCGTGGACTGGCTGTGTATCTGGACTGGGATGCCGGCATCCTGTCCTTCTACAGAGTTTCTTCTGGAAGGTCGCTGACACACCTGCACACCTTCTTCACCAAATTCACTGAGCCTCTCTACCCAGTTTTCAGAGTGTGGGTGAAGGGCTCCTCAGTGAGGCTGTGTCAGGTGAAAGAATAGAAAGAAAAGACTGAATGAGAGATTACACGCTATTCACCGATGATTGGTCTTCTTCTGATCAAAGCAATCAGAGTGATCAGATGGAGGTCATTGAACCTTTTACCATTTATATTAACTGTTTTTGGTGTTGATGGCGTCTCTGAAGTCCTTACTGATGCTTACTCAACTGTTGAGTGTTGGATTTAGGGCACAATTAATTATAATATTATCCAAATCACAATATGGCCAAATTACACAAATCTACAATTTTTAATAAAGGTGAAAAGTGCAATATTGTGTTGTGTAATATGATGTTTTTACCGTTCTCAGTAAACTGGTGAAGCTAAATGTCATCAAAATGATTACATTCCCAATTTTTAAAATTTAGTTTTTGTTATTTCTTTTGGCATTATTACACGGAAACAAAGGGGCGAAACAACCCTACTTAATTTTTTAAAATGTTTACTTTTTTATTAATAAATATATATATAAAAAATTTTTTTTTTTATATATTTTTACTTGTACTTGCCAACCTTCTCATGTTCTCTCATAAAATAGCTCAATTAAAATTTTTTTTTTCATTCATGCCTAAATACTGATAATATTCAAAGTTTTAATGTATACTTTTAATGAAATTAGGCTGATGGAATAAAAATGACAGTTTAATAACATATAAAGATTATTGAAACGTTCTTGATGGTGCCACCAGATGGCGCCAGAGTCAGGATTTTTATATTTTGCTCATGATGACAAATATTTTCATGTTACCCAGAACCCAAAGTTTTATCTCCTGTGTGAACAACAGTTAAAACAAGATTTGAGTTAAGTTATTTGATTTAGAATGAGGTGAAAAGATGTGATATTTGTGCATAGTAAATAATCCAATTCTCTGTTGATCTACTGCAGTTAATCCTGTATATTTACTAACTTGTAGTTTTTAGGGTTACTGATTGTTTTTATACTTATCTGTTTGCATTGGTCTATGTTGAATATAAAACATAAAACGTTGAATAAAGGTAACTTAGTTAAATATTATTGGCTGGACCTTTGAATTTGTTGAGTTGAATTTACTATTAGGTATTTCAGTTTTTTCTTATTTTTATCTTTTATTGTTTCAGATTATTTTTCATTTTCACACTTCTAACAGAATACTTTAATCTTGATATTATTTATTATTTGTATTATTTGTTCATTAGATTCACTGAGCCTCTACCCAGTTTACATGGGTGTGGGTGAAGGGCTCCTCAGTGAGGCTGTGTCAGGTGAAAGAATAGAAAGAAAAGACTGAACGACAGATGCACGCTATTCACTGATGATTGGTCTTCTTCTGATCAAAGCAATCAGAGTGATCAGATGGAGGTCATTGAACCTTTTTACCATTTATATTAAACAGTATTAAGTTCTTTAAATTCAGAGAAAACAACTGAAAACTATTTGAACTTTACATTACTGTCCTCTGTCCAGTGTTGCCGCACCTGAAATTTTGAATTAAAATGGCAAAAAATACTTTATCTGGCGAGCAGTAGCTGTGGAGATTGGTTCTTTAGGTGAGTTTAAAATGGTGTCCGCACATGATTTTATGTATTATGGTAGCTTATATGCATATACGTATATATATTTCAGTATGGAAAATGTATTAAATTATTATCAATGAGGGTTCAACGTGTTTTTGTTTGTTTGTGTTTTAACTTTCCTGGTCGGAAGGAGAAGAAGAAGAAGAAGATATACTTTATTGATCCCCTAGGGGAACTTGTTCTTTTCATTATTTTATACACACACACACACGCTGAAATACACACTTCATGCACTTGTGGACATGCAAAGGGGAGAGAGATGGTGGAGCGATGGGGCTGCAACGTTAACAGCGCCCCATGAGCAGGCCTTGCTCAAGGGCACCTCGGCAGTGCACAGGAAGTGAAACTGACACCTTTCCAGCTACCAGTCCACACTCCATATTTTGTGGTCTGTGGGACTTGAGCCGACGACCCTCCGGTTCCCAAGCCAAGTCCCTACACACTGAGCTACTGCCGCATTCTTCACCTTCTTTTATGATAATAAAAGAGTTATTTTGTAGTTATTATCTGAAGTTTGCTCCTCTGACTGTTTATACATTTTCTGGTGCTACCAAATTAGTAAAAGAAAAAGTAAACTGTACTTTTACGCAAACACAAAAAAAGAGAAAACTTTAGACCCTCAAATGTCCAGCTGTAAAATACTGTTGGACATTTGAGGCCCGAACAAAATGATCAGTCATTTAATCAACTAGTCAGTCAGCAGGTTTATGAACAGCAGTTGTGATAATCAGAGATGTTCACAAGTCTTTTTTGCAAGTCCAAGTCAAGTCTGAAGTCTCTAAAAAATAAAGTCATATGTCTCTTCTGGTTGTAATGAGCCTTCTGTCATCTACTAAGAATACTGCACAGCTATATCTAAGAAATTCAAAGCATTTACTGTATTATTATCACTCCTTTATCTATTAGCATACAGTATCAGTACTGATTAGTTGCAATGCAATATGAAGAAAACACACAATGAATGCTTTCCTTTAAAGGAAACTGTATTCTTCCAACATGAACATACAGTTATAGTATATCTTGCCCCCTATTGTGCAGGCTCAGTGTCACACACACATACACACACCCTGGCACATATTTTCACTTCTGATTACATTATTTAGATTCTATTTAATTACATTATTTACATCATATTAGTTTGATTTTATTCATGTTTATCTTATTTATTCTATTTATAAGGCCAGTTTAGGAGTAACCAGGAGACATTTCACTGCATGTTACTCTGGGACTTCTGTATGTGACAAATAAAGTAATCTTGTAATCTTGTAATCTTGTAAATGTAACATTATTAGTCATGCAATAATAACTAATCATCCAATCTCAGTTATAGTTAGCTATATCTGCTGGACACAAAATGAACACCATTCAGATGCTGGTAAATCATACAAGTGGCTGGTACTGTATGCTGCACTCAGCAGCCAGAATAACAATGGTAATCTATTGAGTGGCTGGTAACATTTCAACAGTCACTAGTCTAGCCGTTTTGCCAGTGGACAAAAAAGTTAAAGGTTGCACTCTGCAACCGTATTGTTTAATTACACTGGGTCTCTCATGACACATTCCTCTCTCCTCTCACTCAAACTCAGTGGAATGGTAACCTGGTAAACCTGTAACATTAACATTACGTGGTCATTAACCTGTAACCTGCCTGTAAGCCGACAGTATAACTCTGTATTTTTCTACGGTTAACGTTAGCCAGTAGATGATTAACGATTAACCGACCTTTTTTTTTTTAAAGTCATGTCAGCGCCACTCAATGCAAACACAGTTTCCTCAATATTAATACGCCAAAAAGGAAAACATAATGATTGTTCACAAGTCCCAAAACACGAGTCTGAGTCGAGTCTGAAGTCTCTGTGTGTGCCACTTAAGTCACAAACTCGAGTCCCCATCTCTGCTGATAATCAATTAACTGCTGAGTTTGTTCAACTAGCAGACGTGTCAGAAACTCTGGTTGTAGTTTCTGGAATTAGTTTCTTTTCATACGACCTGAATAACTTTTAGTTTTGGACTCTTGGTCGGATGAAACGAGACCTTTTTGAACACTGAGACTGTGGGAAACTTTCACTAGTTTCTGGGTGTGCCAGGTCCCTTCAGTCAAAGTCAAACTGTCTAATTTCATGGGAACACAGAGAATTATGGGATACTCGTATATAAACAAGGGCTGAAATCTGCACTCAGTGGAGCTGACGCTGTTTTGAGAATTGATGTAGTTGCTGTTGTTCTCCAGCAGAGGTCGATGTATCTCTTCATGAGGAAGTAACACTCAGAAGTAAACAATGAAAAAGGAAATGACTACAGAGCGAGCAGAGCAACAACAGACAAAGTTTATCTTACTGACCTGAAGAATGTGGATTCACTCTGTGTCGACAATGACAGACACTCACATTTATTTACAGACGTCGATCAGCAGAAAATCTGAATCAGAATTAAGTTTTTACACATACAAGGAATTTGTCTTGGTGCATAAATATATAGAAATCACACAAAATACAGTACTTTCAAAATATAAATAAATAACGATAAGAAAACTGCACAGGAAATGGGCGTGCACTGATGTAATGCATATATACAGGGTGGGTATTAGGAGTCAGTGTCAGTGGGTGTTATTGAGACCAGCTGCAGACAGAAAGAAACTGTTGTGGTGTGAGATTTTGGTCCTTACAGCCTCCTGCTGCTCATGCTTTTTTCAGTTTTTTATTTATTTTGTATCAAACTGAATCTCTTCAGGCGGTGAGCTGTTCACTGTTTGATATTTCATAGGTTCAATAGTTCATTTAGAATATAATTGCCAATAATCGCCTATTAGCAGGTTTTGGAAACTAGTTTTCTACTCATGGAAACACCTGGAAATGGTTTAAAATGTTATAATATAATTATAAAAATAATAAATAAAATATATACATATTGTTGCTGTGGTTGATAAATACCTGCACAGTGATGTTAACTGTACTTGCAACAAACACTTTAACTTTCTCGAAGATGAATTTTCTGTAAAATAAAATAAATTCTTTTTCATTCCAGCTGTTATTCAAAGGCCAAATTAATGTAATGTGATGTGAGCGTTTGTAAGAGAAATTAGAGAAACTAATGAGGGATATTTTGTTAAAAAGAGCGGGAACTGTGTGTCAGTCGGGTTGTGGCTGTTGATGAACACAAACTAGGGCGTTTAATGTGGTTACTCTGGTGTTACACTTTTAGCACACACTGATACTTTGTGCACTTCCTGTTTATTTCTCTTGCAGCCCTGTTGTTGTTTAGAGCCGTGATGTAGTGTCAGCAGACTAATTTCTCTTTTATTTGTTCTTCATGTGTCTTTAAATGTTTCCTCACAGCTCATCACATGAAGATCTGAAGAAGAATGAAGTCTCTGCTGGAGGAAAATCTCCTTTTTCATTAGTTTCATATCCGTTTGTTTTCATACAAAACAGTTTTATACATGATTATGTTTTTTATTAATGTGTGTATAGATTTTCATATTAACTCAACAGTGTTCATCTTCAGCCTTTCTACGTTCTCTGACAGCGTTAACGTTCAGAAAGTGAACAGCAAAATAAAACCGTCAGGGAATTTATGACCGTTGCTTTTGACTCGCAGGACTTCACGTTTTTATTTCTTAAGGTTTGTACATATGTTTCTAATCAGGTCAAAGTATTTTTGATTAACACTTTTATTTTTCTGGAGTTTTGTTTGTTTTCTTTGTTTTTCTCTGTCAGACGTTCATTTACAATTTAACTGTGCTGAGTAATTAACTTGATTAAAATGTTACCTCTTTTCAACAAAACTGTCTCCGTGTGCTCTGAGAACATCTACAGGTCGAAGGTCGCCACATTTCAACATGTAAGCCGCCGTTTACAACACATATTGCTTTTGCTTATTTTGACACTTGAATGCAACACCACAGACGCAGGGTTGCTACAGGTCTGGGAAGTACTTGAAAGATTGATTAAAAGAAAAACAAGACCTTGAAAGAGTTTGAGCCTCGTACAATCTCAGTGTTTGGACACATTACGTGCTGGGTTCTGTTATTTCTGTGTCTCTGTGTTTCTGTCGAGATGAGGCCCATTCCAACCTTAAATTCACTCAAAACCAAAACTCAACATTCGCAGAGTTGCTAGATTTTACGTATCGATTCCTCGATGAACGCTTCCCCACAGCCGTACAGCATGACCAAAAGAAAGAGATATAAAATACAGATAGATTATTGAATAAGATTAAATGACAAACCTAAATACACATACACACATAAACATGTTAATTAATCATGAAATATTTCCAGTATTATTTCCAGTCAGAAATGTCTTCTCAGAAAATATGAAGCATTTTATGTTAAAATGTGTTTTTCAGCACGTGAGATGTTTAACAAGTTAAACTATTTTGCCTGTACAAAAGCCTCTGATCATCACTGGCTGATTTAGTTATTGACTACAATAAAAATGGGCTGAAAAATATGATATCACCCTGCAGACGGGAGCCCGGAGGAAATGTATCTGCAGTATTTGACCAGCAGTGTTCAGGGACAGTCAGCAGATGGGAAGTGAAAAACAGGAAGTGACCTCTGTGACCTTTTATAATGTCACTTATGTTTATGTTTAGTTTGCAGGAAAACAATGAAGGCCTTGAAAGTTTGTAAAAGTAATCCTGAACTGACGGGGTCGTCCAAAGTGCTCCTGTAAAGAATATTTAAGGCTCTGTCTCTTGTTGTCTGTGAGCTTCTATAAAGCTTCTCATTATAAAAGTCATTCACCTTAACAAGGCGTCCCGAGGTTGGATGTTTAATATTAGTTACTGAAAGAGTTTAAAATGTGAAACTACAGTGGGTTGAGTTCTGGATCCTCAGAGGCTGATCTGGTTGTTTGTGCTGCAGGTTCAGTTGAACTCTGCAGCATTTTTAACATATTCAGATTAAAATCTGTCATCAGTCAGAAACAAGTCCCTTATCATCCCACTCCACTGCGGCCTCCCAACAGCCGCCTGCAGTATGCAGATAAGAAGCTCAGAGTCACATTAACTGACTTCAGTCCTCTGGCAGCAGGCAGCTACAGAGAGAGAGAGTAAAGTACTGTACCTCTAAACCTGGAGCTTGTATTCAGCCTGGCAGGAAACTACCTGAACCTATAAGTAAGGAAGTATATTTACTCTATTACTGTACTTGAGAACAAATCTGAGGTACTTTCCTCTCCTCTACAGTTCAGAGGCAGATATTGTACTTTTTACTGCACTACATTTATGTGATAGATTTGTTGTAACTGCAGATTCACATTCATAGGACATCAGCCAGTACAATATGGAGGTTGTAGAGAAATGAAAGTAAAAGTATCTCTAAAGTATCTTTACTGCTGTGTATATAATAATATAGAGCACACAGCTCAGTGCTGCTCTGTTACTGTGGATGGATTCGCTCACTGTGGTATTTGTGCTTTATAGTTTATAAAAGACTCAAGAATGGAAGGAAGAGCAGTAAAAGATGATTGTTGACAGCCTTACAGAGTTACATTACATAAGTTATCTTCAGCATCCAGGCACACAGCTCAGTGTGACCTCCTCCCTCTTCCTGCTGAAATCGAAACTAAATAACTTGTTTACCTCAGAGCTCAGCCTCAGTGCAGCGACGGAGTCCTGACTGTAAGTTCACCTTCTGCTTTCTGACTGTAGATGATCCGTAAGATCAATGTGTGCAGTTTCTTTGGATGTTTGAATAGAAGCAAACAGAAGATCTGACTCGACATTAAGATCATTAATATTTCTCTGTGCCTCCACTGTTTACTGTCTGCAGTGAAACTGAACATAATGTCTGATATTTGATTGATGATCTCTGTTTCTGTTTTAAAATAACATAATAAGACAAATAATAACGACATAATCATGTTACAAAGTTGAGAAATATGTGTTTTAATCCTTCAGTATTGTGGCGTATTTTCAGTTGAAAGATAAACAATAGAACAGCTGCACCCAGTTTGGTTCCTTCCTCTCCAGAGATCAACGCCTGTATGTAACAGGTATGTGTATGTGGCTCCATCTAGTGGCCAGTTACAAAAACAGCACTGTGAAATTATATATTAAAATCTATGTTATTATATCTATTAGTATACATTGTTTTTTTGTTGTTGTTTTTTTACAAGGAAAATTTTATTTTTATAATATAAAATCTAAATCTAGAAAAATGTATAAATCTTTGCCTCCACTATATTTATTTGAAACTTAATGCTTTTTGGGACATTATATTATAAATGTAAGGAGTTTTTCACAAATATCCTTCTGAAATATGAAAAATGTATTATACTTTTACTTATTTAAAACAATTCTGAATTCCTATTTAATTAGTTTTTCTACCTCAATAACTTTTCAGCAAATTTCTGGATGTTTATTTACAATATCTGAGATGAAGCTCCAGCTGTTGACCGTTTACCAAACCAAACTAACTTCCTGTTTTCAGAACACCTGCATGCACACCTGTCACTTTGACCTCGTAAACAAGCCGAGCTTTGAGCTGAATTCTAACAGTGCATAAACAAACTAATTTACTTTGACATTTAATTATGAAACACCTTTCAATACTAAGTGCAGCATCACAACTTCAGTCGTCACACAAACTGCAGCCGTAGTTTCAATAGTGGACTGTTTTTGTGATCTTACTTCTGCTTTTAACTGCATGACTTATGCAACTCAACACTTGTGTAACTTTTTTTAACTGTTTTCACAGGTTGCAAACTGACAGGCAGAGAATGTCAAGTTATTCTGCAGACTTCACCAGAGTACGTCCACTGTTTCTGTCTGAATGTGAATTTAATTTGTCGTTCTCATCGTTCTCAGGCCTCTTTTAAGGCCACTGACCCATTTCTGCTCTGCACTATTAATGGAAATATTAGTGAAATATGGCAGCTGCATCATGATTTGAATGTTTTCTTTTGGGGCAAAATTCAAATTATGTGCAGCCCTTCATATGGTCAGTTGCATGATAGATAATACAACTAAAACAATCTACTGTATGTGTAACTGCTACTGCTTCTGGTTGGTCAACAAAAAATGAAAATGTCATACTCGATTTATGTGCTCCTTTATTTGTTTGCACAATTAATATATCATAATAAAAGTCTAGCATTGATACAACTCAATGTATCTGTGCAGGGGAGGAGAGCAGCCAAACCCAGGAAGCCAAACAAGCGCGAACAAAAACAGGTATGTGCTTCACAATGAAAGACACTTCAGAAAGATCACATGAACCAAATCTAAATGTAACTGTTTTCTGTTTGCTGAAATAGGAGCGACTCTGCAGATGGTCGCAAAGTGATTTAAAAAAAAAAAAACTACGTATTTCCTCATCGATCAGTAACAGAGCAACATTATCATCCTCTTATCCTCTTTCACGCTCATACTCCAGCACTGATGCACAGCCTGACTAACCTCTACAATATGAAGGGTTTATAAGCATGTTGCAGTTTATAGTTGGTACACTAGCCTCCTAAAGCGGTGCACCAACACACCCACCAAGTGTGAAGAGTGTGTTTCCTTTTTTTTATTTTTAAATTGTGAATAAGTTGCAGATATGACGGTATTTGAAAAACATTTGGAACCACATTTTATGTAATTCTGGTTTATAATGAAGCTCTCAGTGTTTGGAAGTGATGCAGACACAAAAACCTTTGAGATCTGAGTAAGTTAGGTGTAATGTGCTGATTACTGATCTCTTTGTCTCGGACTTGAAAGCTTCAAGATAAGTGAACGTGGATCCGAGGGAGGATCAGCCTCTTCTGCAGCCAGTTTTGTTTCTGTGAAGAGTGACCGCTCCAGAGAATATCCTCCAGATTCAAGCACTGAATCCAGACCTTCACAAACAGGGTGAGATTATCAATACTGTCAGATTATATACTCAACATCATGTATTATACTGTGGAAGACACCAGCATTTAATTTTAGCACTGGGATTTGACAGAGTGGCCAAACAGTGTAATGATGATGCCTAATAGACTATTTCCCACAGACTTACATTTTGAAAGAAGTGACTGTAAAATGGTGTTGACTATCACAAGCCATCAAAATTACTTCACGATCGGAATTTGATCCATTTGGTCCGATAACATTTGTAAAGTCTGGAAGAGTGAGGAAGTTAGCAGGCTTGGCAGGCATTAGACTATAACGCCCATGCATGCACAGTATGCATTCATCCGGGTTATTTATTTACAGCAGATGTGGCATTTTTGGCTTCTTGCGCCACTGAGAAACTTTTATAGGAAAGAAGGAGACCTGCCTTGAACGCTGTATCCAGTTCTCCTCTATACATCTGTGAGCCTAACTCTCTCTGCTGACATAAAAAAAAGTAAAGCAACTGAATGCAATGTCATAAATAATGGAATCTCTACAGTTCAACATACATAACACATCAACACACACAAAGGTCTTTACTGAGTTTCTGTTTGCTATAAAATAGTGGTTGTGTTAATTTCTGCTGAAACATCTGTTGTAGTCTAAATGTAACTGATCTTCACAGATTGATGGAAGTCAAGAAGATGAGTACATCTGAGGAAGAACCAGCATCTTCTGCAGCCAGTTTTGTTTCTATGAGGAGTGACCACTCCAGAGAATATCCTCCAGATTTAAGCACTGAATCCAGACCTTCACTAACAGGGTGAGATTATCAATACTGTCAGATTATATACTCAACATCACGTGGTATACTGTGGAAGACCTCTGACACCAGCATTTAACTTTAGCGCTGGGATTTGACAGAGTGGCCAAACAGTGTAATGAGGATGCACACTGGCCCCATAGACTTAGATTGTGAAAGAAGCGACTGTAAAATGGTGTTGATTGTCACAAGCCATCAAAATTACTTCACTATCGGAATTTGATCCATTTGGTCTGATGACATTTGGAAAGTCTGGAATAGTCATGCAGTTACATCATTTGTCTCCCAACAGGAAGTTAGCAGGCTTGGCTGGCATTAGACTATAATGCTCATGCATGCACAGTACGCATTCATCCGGGTTATTTCTTTACAGCGAGATGTGGCATTTTTGGCTTCTTGCGCCACTGAGAAACTTTTATAGAAAAGAAGGAGACCTGCCTCGAACGCTGTATCCAGTTCTCCTCTAAACATCTGTGAGCCTGACTCTCTGCTCTGACAGAATTAAAATAATGCAACTGAATGCAATGTCATAAATAATGGAATCTCTACAGTTCAACATACATATCATGTCAACACACAAAAGTCTTTGATGAGTTTCTGTTTTCTATGAAATAGTGGTTGTGTTCAGTTCTGCTGAAACATCTGTTGTAATCTATAATGTAACTGATCTTCACAGATTGATGGAAGTCAAGAAGATGAGTACATCTGAGGAAGAACCAGCATCTTCTGCAGCCAGTTGGGTTTCTGTGAGGAGTGACCACTCCAGAGAATATCCTCCAGATTTAGGCACTGAATCCAGACATTCACAAACAGGGTAAGATTATACAGGTCAGGTTATTTACTTGACATTACATATATACTGTGGACAATTTCTGACACCTGCATTTTAATATTGTCACATTTAGTTTTAATAGTTTTGGTTTGAAATGTCCCAACAGATAAAAAACTAGACTTTAGAAACAAAACAAACTGAAACCATATTGTGTACTTAAAACTATGGAGAGTCTGAGGGAGGATTAGCATCTTCTACAGCCAGTTTTGTTCTGTGAGGAGTGACCATTCCAGAGAAGATCCTCCAGACTTACACATTGAACCCAGACCTTCACAAACAAAGATTATCAGTACTGTCAGTTTATTTCTCAGCGATCAATTGACTATGATGCTCTCAGAGTGAACAAGCAGCACCACTTTGGCTCATATGTCTTAAAAAAGATAACTTGGTTTTTAAGTGCAGACAAATAAGAACAAACATTGGTTTTACTTCCTGACTGCATTGAATTATCAATTCTCTTTATCAATCCACCTCACTAAAATAGCGGATTGTCATCTGCATATTGGATGATATGACAAAAGGGACCACAAATACTTTTTCAATCCACAGACTAATGTATCATATTAGCTAATGACTCTAAATAAAATTGAATAATAATAATAAGATTTAAACAATGTAGATGATGTGTGCAGTGGACATGAAAAGCAAAAAAATAATGTATTATTCTTATTTCCCAAGCTGTAGACCAGAGGTGTCCAACATCTTCACTCTTCTATTAATTTTGCAAAAGATCAACTGTTTACCCCAGCAAAGACAACAAAAAGTAATGCATGCTTTAATAGAAAATGTTTTTTGTTTACTATCTCTACTGTTTGTAGTGGGACGACTACATCAAGGAATCATCAGAACCAGGACACCCTGAAGGTAAGTATTTTAAAGATATTTTTTGGCTTTTTATGCCTTTATTATACCTTTAAATTGACTTTAAGATAGACAGGAAAGGGGTAGCAATAGGCCACAGGTTGTAATCGAACCCAGGCTGCTGTGGTAAGGACTCAGCCTACATTGGGCGAGTGCTTGTAGTTCAATTCAATCATATTTAAAAATACGACTTTGTTATTAGTTTCGGCGAGGGAAAAGATGCAGCTTTTTCTACTTAACAAATTAGTTAACAGTAGGAAATTATGAGCAGCTTTGTTGCAAGATCCTGGTTGATTTATTCAGGGAACTTGACCCATTCAGTGATGCAGGACATTATAGTATAATTGCTGTAACATTGTAACTCCAGGGAAGAGCATACTGACATGTGAAAAATCTGATAAAAAGTTTTGTGTTCTTTGTCAGGGGTTTGAATCTAAAGCCGTGGCATTTTTAAGGAAAGCTCTGAGAACCGATAAGAAGGTCCTTTCTGGAAAACAAAAAGGATTGTTGCAGGAGGACGTACTTGATGGTCAACTGGTTGAGTCTGACAATGAAACAAATGAAGCAGCTCTGAAGTTTGCCCTCCATATCTTGAGGACCATGAATGAAGATGAACAGGCTCACTCACTTGAGCAAAGTAAGAGACTGCATGTTACGTTGGGTGTTTGTGCTTCTTGAACTTAGTCTATAGTCTTTATATATTAATATAAATATTCCACACCTATTAGATGAACAACAGTGCATTTGGTTTGGCCAACATTATGCTTACATTGGTTTGATAGCAGGCTAAAAAACAAGTGAGCTGAAGCTGATGAATGCTGAACCAAGTGAAGACACATATTCTAGACCTAGAGGGAAATTTGAGTCAAGCTGGCAATGTAGAGCTGAGCTTGACAAGCCGAGTGTGAGATGTGATGAGAAATTATCGTCTTTCAGATCTGACAGGGTGGAGGGATACGCACATAACATATTGTTCTTGTTATTAATGTTACACATTTCTGTGCTGTTAGGTCATTACGGAGAGCTTACCATGTACCGAAAGAAACTCAGAACTTTCCTGAAGAGGAAAAATGAATTCATAATGGATGAGATAAACTCACAGCAGTTGCCTGTCCCTCTTAGAAAGATTTATACAACACTCTATCTGTTAGAGGGGGACAGTGGAGAGGTCAACAATGAACATGAAGTGAGACAAATTGAGAAAGCTTTCAACAAACGGAAGTCTTCAGACACTCCGATCAAGTGTGAAGACCTCTTCAAGCCCAACCAACAAGACAAACCCATCAGAACGGTGCTCACCAGGGGGATAGCAGGCATTGGTAAAACTGTGTTGGCACAGAAGTTCATGCTGGACTGGTCAGAGGAGAAGGTCAATCAAGACATCCAGCTCCTGTTTTCACTTCCTTTTAGGGAGCTAAATTTGATTAAAAATGAAAGAAGAAGTTTGATGGAGCTGCTATATGACTTCTCTCCAGGGCTGAAAGAATCTGGAATCAAAGACCTGACAATGTGTAAAGTTCTGTTTCTACTGGATGGTCTCGATGAGTGCAGACTCCCTCTGGATTTCAAAAGAAATGAGAGGTGCTGTGATGCTACACAGCCAGCATCAGTCGATGTGCTGCTGACAAACCTCATTGCAGGTAACTTGCTACCAAAAGCGCATCTCTGGGTAACTACTCGACCTGCTGCAGCCAGCTGTATCCCTCGAGAGTATGTAGACCGCGTGACTGAGATACGAGGCTTCAACAACCTGCAGAAGGAGGAGTACTTCAACAAGAAAATCGATGATGAAAACTTAGCCAGAAGAGTGATCGCAAACATAAAGTCGACAAGAAGTCTCTACATCATGTGCCACATACCGGTGTTTTGCTGGATTTCGTCTATTGTCCTGGGAGAAATGTGCGCCAAAGCAGGTGGAGGAAAAATGCCAAAGACTTTGACTCAGATGTACATCTACTTCCTGGCACATCAGACCACTCAGAAGCATGTCAAATACAGCGAAGAGCAAGAACTGGACTCCCAAGGGAATAGCAAATTGATTATGTCACTTGGAAAGTTGGCCTTCCAGCAGCTGGAGAAAGGCAACCTGATCTTCTATGAGGACGATCTTAAAGAATGTGGTATTGATGTCAAAACAGCGTCTGTCTACTCAGGAGTGTGCACTCAAGTCTTTAGAGAAGAGTCCTGCATGCAGCAAAAAGTCTTCTGCTTTGTTCATCTGTCTGTCCAAGAGTTTCTTGCAGCTTTGTACGTCCATGTGATGTACAAGGTCAATCGTGTAAACCTGATGATCAAAGAACAGATGGCCCGAGCCAGGCCTGTATCTGAACTGCACAAAACTGCAGTGGACAGAGCCTTACAAAGTCGCAACGGCCACCTGGATCTCTTCCTGCGTTTCCTCCTCGGACTCTCTCTGGACTCCAGTCAGGTTCTGCTCAAAGGCCTGAAGATTCAGGTAGAAACCTGCAACTCCCAAAGTCATGAGGAAACCATCAAGTTCATCAAGGAGAAAATAAGTCAGACTTGTCCTCTAGAGAAGTACATCAATCTCTTCCACTGTCTCAATGAGTTAAATGACCACTCTCTGGTGGAGGAGATCCAGAGCCACCTGGACTCACACAGAGACTTGGTGATGGGCAAAAATTCTGCAGCTCAGTGGGCAGCTCTGGTCTTTGTGTTGCTGACCTCACCGGAGAAGCCAGAGGAGATCCAGCTGAAGAAATACTCCAGAACAGCAAAAGGCCTTAACATGCTCCTACCAGCCATCAAAGCATGCAGATCCGCCATGCAAGTGTCTTTCATAATTTTCTAATTACTCATTTATCACTTGATGTCTTGTCCACCTTTTGTAATAACAAGTTGACTTTGTCTTTCTGTTTATCAGGCTGAATGATTGCAATCTCACTGCAGACTGCTTAGAGGTGCTGTCCTCCACGCTCAGCTCAAGCTCTAATGAGCTGAATCATTTAGATTTAAGTGATAACAACATACAAGACTCAGGAATCAAGCACCTCTGCAAGGGACTACAAAGCCCAAACTGCAGACTGAAGACGTTGAGGTGAGTCGATGCTGAAACTGAGATGCAGCTACTGTGATTGTGTACAAATATGATTTGGGTTCCTGGAACTCAATTTGAGTTTGTTTGAGGTGCTCTTTGGATACAGATACATAAACACAAAACAAGGCACAAAAAACTCTTTTAAACTCTTATTGTCATGGCATGGTCCAGTTAGACACAAAAACAGATGTTTGATACGTATTTTGAGAGGTGTGATTAAGCTTTGTGGTAACTTTTGATGATGTAGTCTGGGTTATTGTTATATTGGATTTTCGTATATTGCAAGGTGTTCATTTGTCCATGTTGTTTGTCCCTTCAGGCTGAACCGATGCAATCTCACTCAGAGATGCTGTGAAACTCTGGCTTCAGTCCTGAGCTGTCCATCATCACATCTTAGGGAGCTGGACTTGAGTGACAATGACATTGAAGACTCTGGAGTGCAGCTGCTCTGCAATGGACTGGCAAATGTGTGCTGTAAACTGGAAACCCTCAGGTATAACAGAGAAAACAATGAATTCATGTTTAATATTTATGAAGGGTATCAACCACCGGTTAAGGCTGAGTTCTGTCTCTCTGTCGCAGGTTGTCGTTCTGTAACATCACAGAGAAAGGTTGTCGTTTCTTGGCCTCGGCAGTGAAGTCCAACCCATCCCACCTGAGTGAACTGGATCTGAGCTACAATCACCTTGGAGAGTCAGGAGTGAAGCTCATCTCTGAAGCTCTGGAGGAAGGACGATGTGAAGCTAAACTCAGGTAAAGAGCACAATGTTTGTCTTTTTCCTGTTGTGGTGTCTCCTGGTACAGAATGCAGGCTGATAATGTGTTTATCTGCCCCACAGAGTCGACCACAATGCCAAAAACTGGTATAAACCAGGACTGAGACAATGTAAGTATATTTCTGAGCTAAAGTCAGGTAGGAATTGATATGTTCCCAATATGGACCCGTGCCAACCAATCAAAAGCAAGTGTGATCTGTGGCTGTGGTATAAATTGTCATTGTAGATGTTAAACTCTTCTTCCTGCCACCAGATGCATGTAAGCTTACAATGGATCATAACACCGCTCACAAACGTCTCATCCTCTCTGACGAGCCCCCAACAATTACCCAGGGCAGCGAGGAGCAGCCATATCCCGATCACCCTGACAGGTTTGACTACTGGTTCCAAGTCCTGTTCAACGAGGGCCTGACAGGCCGCTATTACTGGGAGGTGGAGTGGGAAGGAAAATGGACAGCGATCGGTGTGACCTACAAGGGCATCAGTCGCAAAGGGCCAGAAAATGACTGTGTGATAGGCTACAATGGAATATCTTGGAGTCTGCACTGTTCTCCTAAAGGCTACCGGGTGTATCATAACTTCGAGAGCATCGTCCCTTGTGTCCCTCTGGCTGATTCCTGTCGACTGGCTGTGAATCTGGACTGGGAGGCCGGCATCTTGTCCTTCTACAGAGTTTCTTCTGGAAGGTCGCTGACACACCTGCACACCTTCTTCACCAAATTCACTGAGCCTCTCTACCCAGTTTTCAGAGTGTGGGGGAAGGGCTCCTCAGTGAGGCTGTGTCAGGTGAAAGAATAGAAAAAAAAGACTGAATGAGAGATGCACGCTATTCACCGATGATTGGTTGTCTTCTGATCAAAGCAATCAGAGTGATCAGTTTCACCATTTATATTGAACTGTATTAAGTGCTTTAAATTTGATATGAAGACAAAACGTCTAGACACTACTCCACAGTCCAAAAGGTTCAATGTTTATAAATAAAAATACATATATGTTACACATGGTCTAGGAATAGTTTTTTTTCTATCTCACTGAATATGCCTTACTTATCACCATACCTGTTGAAACATTGTTAATTGATATAATTGCTTATTGTCGCTAAATAGTTACTATGATATTAGAAAAGTTTCTTATGCAGTAGCCATACATTGTCATTATATTTTACTGTATTTGTTTTACTGTATTTTACTCATTTATGTGGTGTTACTGAGCTGCGACATACTAGACCTTCATGAGATAATATCAAAAATGTCTAGTACTTGTTTTTGCTGGCATGCGTGAGAAATTGGTGAAATTGCGTATTTAAGTTTGACCTGCAGAAACCCTGTATATTTTAACTTCTATGGATTCAGTAGGTGGTTTGCTAAGTTGAAGCTAGCTGTTGCTACAGTAAGTGCTGAGTTGCTATGTTGCTGAGGTGTTATTAGGGGGCTTTAGGGATGGTGTTCAGGGTGGTTGGTAAGTGATTGAGGGAGAAATCCACAGTTTAGTCTGGTAATTCCCAGAGGAGAAAGTTAAATTCTTGATCAATGTATTTTCAATCAAATTTAACAGAAATGTTACATTTGTGTAGATATTTTGCTTATTTTTTGAGTTTTCAGTTTGAGTTGTTACTTATTTTATTTGTTTATTCATTTATCTTTTATTTATATATCGCTTTAAAACTCAAGTGGATGGAGTCCACACCACAACTATTAAATGCTTATTTATACAATTTTTGGCTGCAAATTACACATAAAAAACATAATTTTACTTAAGACTGCGGACTGTCTTTGGTGTTGATGGGGTCTCTGAAGTCCTTACTGATGCTTACTCAACTCTTGAGTGTTGGATTTGGGGCACAATTAATTGTAATATTATCCAAATATGGCCAAATTACACGAAGCTACAATTTTTGATGAAGGTGAAAAGTGTAATATTGTGTTGTGTAATATGATGTTTTTACCATTCTCAGTAAACTGGTGAAGCTAAATGTCATCAAAATGATTCTTTTTCTACTTTTTAATATTTGTTTTTTTGTTATATATATTTCTTTTTGCCATTATTACAGCTGGAAATAGACAAGAGGGGGGACTGACATTGCACAACCCTACCTAAGTTACTTTTCTAAATATATATTTTATAGTTAATTATATATATATTATATACTTGTACTTGCCAACCTTCTCCTGTTCTTGTTGTTCCTCCCATAAAATGTAGCTCGATTAAAATGGTTTTTTTTTTTTTTATTTATGCCTAAATACTGGTAATATTCAAAGTTTTAATGTATACTTTTAATGAAATTAGGCTGATGGAATAAAAATTACAGTTTAATAACATACAAAGATTATCGAAACGTTCTTGATGGTGCCACCAGATGGCGCCAGAGTCAGAATTTTAATATTCTGCTCATGATGACAAATATTTTCAATGTTACCCAGAACCCAACGTTTTATCTTCTGTGTGAACAACAGATAAAACGAGATTTGAAGGTTATTTAATTCAGAATGAGGTGAAAAGATGTGACATTTGTACATAGTAAATAATCCAATTCTGTTGATCTACTGCAGTTAATCCTGTATATTTACCAACCTGTAATTTTTAGGGTTACTGATTGTTTTTATACTTATCTGTTTGCATTGGTCTATGTTGAATAATAAAAAAAAAAATTGAATAAAAGTAACTTTGTTAAATATTATTGGCTGGACGTTTGAATTTGTTGAATTTGAATTTACTATTATTTCTATTTTTTCTTATTTTTATCTTTTATTATTTAAGATTATTTTTCATTTTCACACTTCTAACAGAATACTTTAATCTTGATATTATTTATTATTTGTCATAGCTTTTCTCATTTACAGGTTTTATTAGAATGAAGTGGTCGTTGGCTCTGAACAGCAGCATGTTATAGAGTTGACTGATTGGTTATTGTGTATTATTCCTGTTATACAACAGATTATTGTCATTGTTTGACATTATATATTATTATAGATTAAATATGAGTGTTAATCTAACATACTGATAAAGGTCGTTATATCAGCGCTGTAAGATTATCTGAGAACGATGCACATCTTTCAGCCTCTGTTGCAGCAGTATAAACTGTAACAAATTGTATTAAAATTTCAGCCACATTAGAAAACGAACAGCTCTGCACAGCACTTTATTCAGGTCACAACAGGTCAGTACAAACAAACAAACAAACAAACACTGCTGGTTTGATCCAATGACAACAGACGGTTTCGTTGTCACTTGAACTGTAGCTGCAAAACACTGAAAACGGGTTCATCTCTAGAAATGACGAACAGAATGTGTGACTCTTTTTAAAAGGTCCAGTGTGTAACCGTTAGTGACGTCGAGCCGATTGCAACTCCTTCACTTCACCCTCCGTCAGCCTGTTTGGCAACTGTCGACAGAAAGGGCTCATTCAAGTGACAAAAACATTATGACTGTTGGCGATCAGTGTTACTGATTACTAGTAATATAAATCTCAGTAATAATATTACAGTTACCCCCTGGAAAATGTCTTTTAACAAACAAAACTGGAGTTTAATCGTCGTCAGTCTGAATGTCGGGGAGTAGCAGAGAAGTTATATAACTAGTAGTGTCACCAGTAGGGATACAATATATGATAACCAATAATTTCACATTGTTGTGTTTCAAAAAGAAGAAAGAATGATGATGTTTTTGCATAAGGAGCCAAATAAATTCTAAATAAATGATTATTAATATCAACCGATAATTGATTGGCTGTAATGGAAACATGATGGGTATTAGCTCCTCCTCAGTGTCACACTTTGGACCTATAAGGGATGAACTGAGTTGACCTGTGATGACTGGAATCTCTTTAGATACACAATGATGAGCTTGAGTTTATGATCATTTGCCAAAATTAGACGTTTACATTCTAAAACTCCACACGTAAAGTCACTATAGAAAAATATACGTTCAGACACATCGACAGTTCGAGCCTTCTTTAGTGAATCCAAGAGAAAATATTTTGTCCCACTGACAGTTTGTTTGTCCCGTGTGCTGCTCGCGGTGTCTCAGTGGTCGTTGGCGGTCGGGAAGTCGCCCAGTGGAGGACGTCACAGGTTTGATCCCCAACTGTCTGCCCTGCAGTCGCGTGTTTAGCTCCTCGGACTGCTGCAGCGCTGCGTGACCGTACTTCATCATTTAATAGACCTTTTTCACAGCAGCCATTTTGACATGAAATAGTGTAATAGGGTAAACTCGGGTGTTACCAATGATCCTGGATCACTGGAAAGGCTCTGCTACACTAAATGGAACAGGACCCTGATTGGTATCATTGGCAACACTTGTGTTTACCCTACAATTCCATGTCAAAATGGCTGCTGTGAAAAATGTTGTGACGTTTTCCTAATTGAGCAAAAACCAAACAACTTTTCATTTAAAAACAAACAGTAACATTTGTATATTTACAGAGAACTCTTATTTCTAAGAGCTGCAGCAAAATAAAATTTTTTAAAAGTTCTAGCTTTGCGAAGCTGTTTCAGTTTAGCGTGGCGTTAATAATAAAACTATTATGCTAATACTGCAAATTTAGATTGAGGCAGTCGCAGCCACCGTGTGGGAGACAGTCCCGTCAGGTCCAATAGAGACGCTCAGAGAAATTAACCAGACGTACAGTTGGCAAATGAACCAGTTGGCACTACAAGATGGACACAAAGAGATTCCGACTTCTTCTCAGGAGTTTTCAAACTGTATTTTTCAGCTTCCTGAGAGAAAGAACTTCCAGGATGAAGACGAACTGGTTGTTGTGGCGAATGTACGTCTGGTTGACTTCCCCAGCCTCCGTTAAAGAGCGACGCACAGACGTTTCTGTGGGGCCGTCTGGGACTCCCACTCAGTGGAGGAGATGAATAACTGATTCTGGGCTGTTGGAGCACAAGACAACAGTTCTCTGCTGGATTCAGCAACAACTCTAAACCGAACGCAGTTTAGATTTTCTCTGCGCGGGTTTCACGTATAACAGAGAAGATCTGGAACAGAATAGAGTCTGTGTACAGTTGGAGTCCTGGTTCTGCAGGTTTCAGACCAGGTTTTTCACCCTCCGCTCCTGATTTCTGGATCTGTTTGTCTCTTCCACACTTCCGTCCTTCTCCCTCCTTTAGTTCAGTCTTTCCCTCCGTGTTGTGAAGTCTCTTTTGTTCAACCAGGAGGTGACGAGTCCACGAGGACCTGAGACGTCTGCGGAGAGACCTTCTCCTTCCACCTAAACCTACCTTCTTTCTGCCTTTAACTTGCTCCCTCACTTCACTAATTCTCTACTTTGTTTCCTTTCCTTACCTCCCTGTCTTTCCTCTTTCCTTCTCTCTTTCCTCTCAGCTGTTCCCACGTTTCTTTCTCGTCTCTACCTCTCTGTCCCCCGTCCTCCTCCTCTTGTCCGAGGTTGTTTTGTCATTGGCTGTCGCTCTCTCCCAGTAGCCAATAGGTGGTCATCTTTCCTTTGCCCTTGACGTCGATCTCTCCTCGCAGCTCCAGCTGGAAGCAGTTGAACTCCAGCAGGACGTCGCGAGTCGCCGCCGACACGTGGATCTTCAGTGCTGCACAGACAGACACTCACATATTTTTATTTGTTCTTCCACCTGAAATTCTGGTATTTTATTGGTAAACACAGCTGTTAGTTAACCTCTAACCTCTTATGGAACCAACATCAGTATCGGTGTATGTGTTGTATAATGCTGTAACAATGAATGTGGTAATGAATTGGTGTCAGTGCACAGTTTGTCCAGCAGAGTGCGCTGTGATTCACAGAAAGGAAGCAGCTAGAACTGGATGGCAATTTATGTTCAATTATTTAAAGAATAGTTCAGTTAAATATTCTTTAAATAAAGTTGTTTGTTTAAGAAAGCAGCCTTCAGAGCTGCACAGTGGACATAGAAAGAAAAAATTCACAATATGAGCCACCGTACACTGCAAAAAAGTAATCCCAAGAAAGCAAAAAAGAAGTTTGTTGAGTCTTGTTATATCTCTAACTTTGTCTTAATAAGATATTGCAGCTGATATTGAGCTCGATTTAACCAATAACAACAATAGCTGCATAATATCCCAGCAGAGGAACCAGATTATTGTAGTATTTTCAGAGTAAGAGCACTTGCACAACTTTTTAGTTTAAGAGAAAGTCGTCTGGTCCCAGTGTTGGAAATGAAGCAGGTTTTAATAAAAAATAATAAAAATAAGCATGATTCTGGTTCCTTCGTTTAACACAGAGTCACTTATCTTTATTATGCTGTTTAAAGAAACTGTGAGTTTATTTGTTCATTATCAATCTCAGATTAAGGTACAAATCCTTAAATCAGCTCAGTAAAGTAACTAAAACACTTTGGAGTTTTTACTGCTTGTAAATAGCTCAGCTTTTTGGCATTTTGTCTGGTTTTAAGGCTCATTACTGGCTCAATGTTTCAATACAAGAACATTTGATTATATTTAAGAACTTTTGGCTTGTTTCTTGAAGGGCTGTTTTTGCAGTGTATCTTTAATTTGTGTATTTTTCCATCTCTGAAAATCAGCACAGTCACAAATGAAAAGGACAAAGATTGAATCAGTTGCAGCTGATGAGTGTTTGTCGTTTGTTCTCAGTGTCTGCGACTGTTATGGTTCATATTATCACATCATTACATTCACCTGATCAGTTTACTGGTTCTGAATCAGGAGTGTTTAATGTGAGTACCACACTGTACTACATTAATATCTGTATATTATGTACAGTATGTGTGTGTGTAGTTCTCACCTTCTCCGCTGGACTCCATCCGTGACGACGTGTTGACGGTGTCGCCGAACAGACAGTAACGCGGCATCTTCAGACCCACAACTCCTGCACACACCGGACCTACAGCAACACACAGCAGGAGTCAGTGAACGCCTCCTTCCTGCAGGAAATATCATATCACATCATATCATGAGCTAACGTTAGCAGCAGCTCGGCTCGCAGCCCCTCCGGGACGTCCTTTGTCTGTCCAACAGCGTGGGAGAAGCAGTGATTGTTAAGGTGGAACTGCTTTATTCAGTGTGTTTAGTGGTTTTAATCAGCGGGTCTGTTTGTGTTGGAGAGGAGGAGACCTCTGTGGATCATTGGGCTCCCGGTAGAAACCTCCTGAACCATGAACACTGAAGGAATCCTAACCGGGAGAAGCTGACTGCAATGACACCAATGGTGGTGAAGACAACGACTCCCATGATCCCACGCTGCTTCACCACCTCATCACACTTTATCTTTACTTATTGTTCAGAGGTGAGAGACCCCTAGTGGCAGAAATAACTTACTGTACTTTTGATTTCCTATTTAGAAATTCTAGACGGAGTTTCTGTCACAGACTTTGTGCTTTTTAAGGATTCAAAGAAAGAGAATATTTAAATGTTGTGTGTTTCCTGAACAGGCTGTTCCCCCGCCCCCCCTCACCACTGTGGATTCCTATCCTCAGTTTCAGTTGTTCTGATCGGTCGCGGACCCTGAAGGTCCGGACGCCGTCCAGCAGGGCGAGGGCCATGCGGGCGATCTCTCTGCCGTGCAACTTCCCGTTCCTCACCGGCAGCCCCGACACCACCATGTAGGCGTCACCGATGGTCTCCACCTGGGGGCGCCACAAACAACAGGTCAGTGAGATAGTGAACAAATTTACTGATGGGTCTATTTTCTTATTTAATGCTCTGCTTCTGTTATTGTTTGTAGAATGAATTTTTTAAAGATATTTTAATGTTTAAAATTATAATTATTTAATTAAATTGAGTTTATTTCATATTTTGGAGGATTTTGAAAGGATCTGGTATTCTGTTCTACTGGTTCCTTCCTACCTGCAGTGAACACTTTGATCCTCTTGGATCAATAAAATCCAGTCTGGTCTCTACATTTTAAAGATGTTTGTGTCTTTGAAGTGTAAATTACTTTGGAGTCCTGAAATCAAGAGTTTTTTAAATCGAATGAACGTGCAGATGGAGCTGATTCTTCTTTTAAATCATAAAGCTAGTTCAGAACTCCCATATAAAACATAAATAAACGTATGTATTATTATTATTATTATTAACTATTTTGTCACCTTGTAAACGTCAAAGTTGTCGATGATGGCATCAAAGCAGGTGTAGAGGTCATTCAGCAGAGTCACCACCTGCAGAGTGAGAGCGACAGGATCAGCAGATACAACAGAGAAACACCTGCATGAGTTCAGTCTGTTCTAAGGGTCAGGGGTCGGGGGGGACAGGGGACAGGGACTCTGCTTACCTCCATCGGCGTGCTCTCTGCTGAGATGGCGGTGAATCCCACGATGTCGCTGAAGTAGATGGTGACTGAGTCGAAGGCTTCAGCCTGAACCGTCTCACCGCGCTTCAACTGCTCCGCTACTGAGCTGAGAGGTACACACAGACACAGAGAGAGAAAGAGAGAGAGAAACCAAAGTAACAAATATGTTAGGAAATGTGTATAAATTACTTACTGTGGTTGTATCTGGTACAGTAGTATATATACAGTACTTACTGTGGTAGTATCTGGTACAGTAGTGCTTCAGCCTTGCGTTTCTCCTCATGATAAGCTTGCGTTCGTTCCTCCACAAGCTCCTCCAGGTTGTTGGCGTACTGCTCCATTCGGGACAGCAGGTTGTCCAAGATGTTTGTCCTCGACTCCCTGAAACACACAATGTTACAGTCAGTGTTACAGTCAGTGTTACAGTCAGTGTTACACTCTGTGTTACACTCAGTGTTACAGTCAGTGTTACACTCAGTATTACACTCAGTATTACACTCTGTGTTACATTTGACTTTGAGAGTTTGGAAAGTTTGCGTCTAACTAAACAATCATCACATCAAGGGCGGCTGGAGGTGAAATGCTGCCCTCTGTTTGTTTGGAGCATGTATTGAATTACACATTGCTCCTATAAAGGATAACGTGTCTTTGATGACTGCCATTATCATCATCCAGTGTGAAGCCAGTGATTTATCCTGCAGTCAGAAGCTCTTTCTGTCAGAAGTCACAGACTCCTGGTGATCACAAAGAGCACAGAGACTGAGATAATTACCTGTTTTTATCTCCCCCTCCACATTAAAGGTGCAATCAGTGATGTTTTAATGACTATTTGCATAAAATGACTGTCGTTTATCAGCAGAAGTGTTGATATTTACAACAATCACTCCTCTCTCCCATAGTGCACTCACACAGATTACTGTAGGCCTGCATTATGTGCTTGTTACTTCAGTTTTAACGCATATGAGGGGATTTCGTTCGATTTCTAAAAAAGATATACATTTTTTTTGCATCGTTGCACGCCTCCCTGCATTAAGACCGATGCATATCAAGCATGTTCAGATACACATAACATGAGTGTTTTTTTAGTTTATGTATTTCCACTTGAGTAAAGAACGTTTGTGAGGTGTTTTTAAAGATCTGTCCGAGAGTGCAGCCGCCACTGAAGAGACATATTTGACTGATTTTATGTTTCATCTGTCGAGCACTCACTTGTTCTGTTTGCGCAGCAGCAGGCGGATGTGGTTGAACTCCGGTCTCTCCGTCGGCTCCTCGGCCCAGCAGCGCTGCATCAGCTGACCCAGCTCAGGACTGTGGCTCTGGGGGTCGATGGTCGGTCTGAGGCAGGGCCACTCGCCCAGAACCACCCGGTCCACGATCTCTGCAGAGGGAGGGTAGCGTCAGGACTGGATTAGAAAAATATGAATGCTTCTCACAGGAAAGGAGAATTCAGTATAATATGTGTGTATTCTCTTATTCTCCCTCAGTATTTTTTACTCTATACAACAACAATTTTATCTTAGCTTTAAACTTATGGTGTGAGTTCCACACATGGTTATTAAACTGAGTTGTGAAACTGAGAAAAAAGATGCAAAACTGGACTGAAGAAGAGAAACTCTGCTGGATGAAGGAAAAAGAAAGTGAAATAACAAAGATCTTAATTATCAACCAGTCTGAACGTGGACAGAAATAATGAAGTAGTTATCTTGTGAATTGTTCACTCTTGTTTTAATTGCCACAGATGTTTGTGCACAAAAACAGACTTTAATTCTTTAGAGCCACTTAAGAATAAAACTATATTTATGTCTTAATGACAAAAGCTCAAACTAAGTGCTTGTTTGTTCATCCGAGTGAACACGAGTGCAACAGGAATGTCTTCCGTTATATGAGCCGACGAGTCAGAGACACCAAAGCTGCAACTTGAAAACATTTTCTCTCACATGAGTTTTGACACATTAAACTGATTGAAAGGAACATATGTGCCTGGTTGCCTGGGGCAGGTAAAATGCCACTCTGGACTCGTAATACTTGTCTCACTTGCCACATGGAAGTAGCTGAAGAGTGAGCCATCTCTCTTCCTTCTCATCTCTGTTGAGAGTTGCACATGCTCAGTACCGATCGGCACTCGGCAGGTAAAGACAAAGTTTATGAGGTAAAGCGAAACAGGAGTTTAGTTGGGTGGCGTTGGAGGATGTGGATGAAACTCCAACCAGCCGCAAGTCAATAAAACAGGGTTGTTTTTCAGAGGCTTGTTAGGGTCCCGAAAATGTCGCTGTGGTGCCATAACACGAGCCGACGTCATCTCACTCACATTTCAGCCATAAGAGAGAAAACCACACAATATTCTCTCCATAAAATATGATCCAGTTTCACCCAAATCACTGATAAAGTTGTGCTTCTGTAAGAGCGATGGAGTTGTAATAAGGTTTTATAACCAATAAAATTTTTTATAGGAGCAAGTACAAATTGATATAAATACAAATAGTCTGCATGGAACAATAATGTCTGACATGTTTTTCCTGCAAACAAAGTATAATTCCCACATTCAAATATCTAAAAAGTCATCTACTCCTACCACAATCTATGAATATGCAAATTTAGTTCATCTCTAAAGTTATCCTGCTGCACACAAGATGTCTCCTCCTTCACTGTGAAGTTCTTCAGCGTGTGTGCGCTGGTGGATTGATCTGATGAACTGATTAATGTGAAAACATCCTTCTAGTGTCAAACTCTGCACGTACATCGTTCTGCACAGTGAAGATATTTTTTACTTCCCAGAATTCCTAGAAACACACTTCATCTGTAACTCTGCTCTGCTTCTTTCTGCCTTCTGTGGTTTGGAAACGGAAACTTTTCCATGTCAACTTCAGTGATTTCAACTGTACACAAAACACACTACAATTGAGATTTGACCTGTTTTAAATAAAGCCTCTGACAGACTGCAGGCTGACGGCTCTGAAGCGGTTCGACACTTCAGCGTCGGCGGTTCAAGTCCTGGAAAGTGTTTTTGGAAATACAACTGGAAAGGAAGAAAGACTGCTGAGTTATCGAAGCGTCGTCCAGCTGGCTGATCATCACTGCTGGCGACAGGTCGGGAAAAAAAAAAAATCCCACAATAAATGTCACATCTTTCTCTTTTCACCCTCTCAGTCATACAGCGGTTCTCCCTTTTCTCTCATTTTCCTCCCCCTCCTCCCCTGTCTGGGTGTAATTGCTGGTTTCAATCGTGTCATGCTCCGTCTCTAATTCCCCTCATTCAGTCGTCGTCACGACTCGGACTAAATCGCTTCTAATCCCTCCATCCATCCCTCCATCCGCCGCTGTGTTCGCTGCTTCTCTCACCACTTCCTGATCGACGACTGAACGCAGCAGCAGTTTCCCATCAGGTCAATAACACATTCAGGAGAAGAACAGACCCTCAGAACATCGTTAATTTCACTAATTAAAAATATCTACGAGGTAAAAACACTTTCCAGTAAATGATGGAGGACAAACAGCTGCTGTCTGATATTCTGATTCTGATATTTAAACTAATTTAGATAATTTCCTTTTAGATATTATTTTGTCGGGCTATTTATTTAATATTTCCTGAGAAACAAGACTTGGATCGGCATATTCTGGCTTATAGTCTCACTTATTCATATGGTTACATCTGAGCTTTAAAGCATTAATACATCAGCTAACAGCTCTATATACAGACACAGAGTCACATGGTGTCTCTCTCCCTCTGCCTGTGTTGTATCGCAGCCTCTCTGTGGTTTATTTCCAAAGCCGGTCTGCTCCGACTGAAACTGCTGTTTTTATCATCTACGTCGGTGAATTAAGGATTTATTTCCACCAAACCAGAGTTGGTGATTGTTGGAAACACTAACAGAGACGCTTTTAATGAGTTTGATTCTGTTTCTGTCCAATCGTTGATGCTCTAGTCTGACATCCATATATATCCCTTAATCTTAGACAGAAAAATATTTTTTATACATTGTTTTTTTATGTTTATTTGTGTTATTTTGTACGTTTGTATTGGATCTTATTTTCCAAATGATCTATAATTGTCTCCCTTTTTGATTGGTTGTGGCAACCTGTGATTTTAATGTGAAAAATGTGTTGTTTCATATTGTGAATTTGATTTCTTTTCCACATTTTTCCAGTTTCAGTTTTGAGACATTCAAACTGTCAGTTTCAAATGAATGATGGACAATCAGCTGTCAAACTGGGACACAAGTGGTCTTAATGAGAGGAAATGTAAATTTAAAAGGAGAGAAACAAACATGTTGCATGCTCTGTGTGAATAATCAAATGTTGGTTGGTATAAAAACAGGAGAATTAGCCCTGATGAAGCCCGGCGCTGCTGGAACACGTTATGGATTTGACCTAAACTGACTTCTCAAACCTTCACTGGGAGCCTGTTTATGGGAAAAACTCTTGAAGCAGATAAACAGTTTTTTTTTGTAGTCTTCCGTTCTTAGAGATTCATTCTTTGGAAATGTGTAGTAGAAGCCAATCTCCAAACCAAACTGTGACCGCACTTGAAACCGTTTTCCTCAAAACAGAAACAAACTAAAGAAGAAAAATTGGGAAACTCAGTTTTCCAGGTTTAAGTGGTTTCTGACTCAACAAAACAAACACATCCTTTGGGCTTTTTATCTAATTTTTCAAATCTCTAGTTCATTCCTGGAGAGAAACAAATGTGATTGTCAGCATGCGGCTACTAGTACCAACATGAAACCCAGAATTATGTCCTGCTGGGTTCTGTCTGTTCAGCCCACTTCTTCTCTAAAAGCTATTTCTTCTCTAATCCATTCGCAGCATGAAACAGGCTTACTGTGGTCTTATAATTTGTTAATTGCTGTTATTATTAAATCGTACTCTACCATCACGAATGTCACATTTATTCTGAAAATACTTGAGTGTCTAGAAAGCGGTTTCTGTCATCAGTGCTGTTAATGCTGTGTAGGTAGAAACAGCTCACGTAGAGTCATCTGTAGAGGTTAACAACAGGTCCAGTAAACCTGGTCTCGACCTCTCTGGACCACTGACAGTGTATATAATGGACAGAGCTTCCGAGTCCGTGAAGTGTAGAAACAAAACAGCCCAAAACTTTTTGTTGACATCTATCCTTCTATTTATTCGTTTCATGGTTCATATCAACGTCCATGGGGCAGCACAAAACCTAAAGTTTAAAGTGGAATTCACATTCATTTTATATCCGCAAGAATCCAGAAACTCTTCAACTCGCTTCACTGCAGGACTCAGGATCTGGACTGCTTCATGCTCCTCCTCTGTCTCCCCTGTCTCTCTACCCACCCTCCCCCAAGGGACTGTGCAATACTCTTTCAACACTCCTGCTTTTATTGTCACTTTTATTCATCATTTATTTATTGTTTGTATGTTTTTAACCCCTTACTACCGTCTGCTATTGTCTTTAACCTATGCTAACAGTTTGAACTACTGGACACCTGAATTTCTCCATCGGGTTTTATAAATGATCCCTGTAGTCAAACTCTGACAGTAAAAGGCCGTCGGAACTGGTCTGAAATGGATAATCAGAGCTTGTAAAACCTTCATGCACATACTGGATCCCACCTTTAGGGCTGAGTGGGTCTCCCTCCAGGTAAAAGGCTCCTCGGCGCAGCGCCACCTCCTGGAGGACGATTCCGAAGCTGTAGACGTCTCCTTTCTGCGTCCCCTGGGGAGGAGGAGACTCCATCCGGAGCAGCTCTGGAGCCATCCACAACCTCTCTGCAGGGGAGGAGGGCAGAGGAGATAACGTTAATGAGGATTGCTGAATGTTTGGTCACACTGATTGTACTCTTTACTTATTCTTCAGATCAGATAGTTCAGGATTTAAATCAGAATTTCACCAGTTTAAGACTGCATTTTATTTTTAGCCATCGTTCTTCTCCAGCTGTGGAAAGGAACGAGCTACTAGAGCACAAAAGATGGATGAATGCCAAACAGAGTGTGGATGTTTAAACAGCACAGAGAGGAGTTGTTGTAAAGCGGATAAAGGGCTGAAACGGAAACTCACGGGCGTAGTAGGCATGAGCGTCTTTTCCCGAGTCGCTGTCAGATCGAAAGCTGGACAAACCGTAGTCGGTGATCTTCAGGACGAAGCGGTTGTCGACGACGCAGTTGGAGGACTTGAGTTTACCGTGAGAGAAGATGACGCTGTTGTGGAGGAACACCATGCCCTGCAGAGAGAGACAGAAGAGTGGAACTACAGAAAACAGACCTCTCATATCTTAACAAAGAGCTCTCATTCACCCATCCACACACACTGATGGAGTTCAGTGAGGACAGGAGGGGGATCGAACCTCCAACACAGAGGTTAGTCACTCTTCCTGCTGAGCACCAGATGGTCGTATCAACAATATTTGTTGGAGATACTAATGAATAATAATGTTATTTTGTAATTCAGTGGTTCCCAAACCTTTATCTTAAGGGACCCATTTTTCTATCACTGAGTAAACTCACTACAGGACATATTTTATATTATATATTATTCAAGGCATTAGAAGAAGAAGAAGATTAAAGAACAAATAATCATTTTTACAATAACTGCAGGAAGTTTTTGTAAAACAAGCGAAAGAAACAATTATTTCCGTGAAGGATCAGAGATCAGAACTTTCTCTGGCTTTTTCAAATTTAAAAAGGCAGCTTCATATAAGTAACATTCACTTCCTTAATCCAATCCATTTTTAAGACCTGTTCAAATCACATTTTAGACATTTTAAGGCCTAGAAATCTGAAAAACAGTAGATAAGATACGGAAGATAAATACAGAAATGTACCTTTACGATGTCATTGATGAGAGAATATTTGAACATCCAGTCCAGAGTGATGCTGTCGTTCTCTAAAATGTCCTAAAGACACGAAATACAGACCGTTAAACATCAAACAACCGACCGACAGACAGAGAGACAGACAGATAAACAGACAAAATATCAGCTGATTTAATCACAAACAATCACATATATCAATATTTGCTTAGAAAACCCCACAAATAAAGATATTTAAACTAAAACACATTATTGTGACACATTAGTAAAGAACTGGATAGCAACAAACTGGCATTAGTAATCAATAAATAGCTTTATAATCATTAATATCATAATAATCATTAATAATCACCTCGTCTAAAATGTGGCCCAAACAGATTAAATACTATGTTCATTTCCATTTTTTAACATGTTATTTCAAATGAATGTGCTACATTTGATAGCAGCCAGTCTGTTAAACAATCAAACAGACAGACAGGTACACACAGGTAGACAGGCAGGCGTACCTGCAGACTTCCTCTGGGGCAGTACTCTGTGGTGATACAGATGTTGGGAGGGTCGATGCACGCTCCAATGAACCTGGTCAGATGTTCGTTCTGAACGTCTCGCATCTACACAAACACAACATAATATATTTATATATATAATACTTTTTTGTAAATATTTCGAAGAACTGTGCGTACTGTGTGTACTCTCAGCATGACTGACCTGTATGGGTTCACTTTGTTAAGACTGACCTGGTTTGATCTGTTTCAATCCCAGTTTCTCTCATTTCATTGGTTAATTTAGCCAACAATTTTGTGCCACCTGATTGTGTTTACCTGCTCGTTTTAAGCAGCGCAGCTCAGGGTTCACTAACTTTTGCCTCTACAAATTTACAAAGAAATTTAGTATTTGTCTTGTCACTGCACACTTGATTTGTTCAAACATATATGGAATTAATAAACACACACCTGTTATTGCACATTAAAAATACTGATTGTGATTATATAAAGAAATAGAAAACTCCAACTAAGAGTTCATTACAGCCACAATGTGAAAGCATTGGACAGAAGAATCAACATCCTGATGATTTATTGATTCTTAGAGCTAAATATGTAAAGTTTGTCCTGATGGTGGCGCTAAAGGCAGCTGACAGCTGAATTAACCATTTAGGGGCCCCAGAGGCAAAACTGAGCTGTGGGTCTATTAATTTGTGTGAAACAAAAAGGACAAAGACAAGAAACACTCTTTAAATGTCATTTCCTAAAACAATTTTAACATTTCCACTTTCATGTCCTTTTCATGATCAGCAGCTCCGACCTCTGACCTTTACACACCTCGTTTCATCTCTGAGAGCCGTATTTAAATTTAAATATGTGAACCACGAGACACTCACATGTTTGAGTTCAAACAGGACCTTCCTGTTCAGCTCGATGCGCTTCCTGTTGCTGTATTTAATGGCCACGATGTTTCCCTGGAGGAACACAAAGAGTCAACAATAAACTTAAAACCTCTGACTTGAATCCAAAACATAATCCTGATCCTAAACTTAATTTTAAACTATAAACCCAAATCCTGAAGGAGTCAGCTGGGTGTCACTAACATCCTTTCCTGTATACACTTTTTATGGTTTGCTATGATTTTATTACTGCAGTCAGTCATCAGGGGGAGATCAACATGTTTTGGCTTTACTTTTCGGGAAACTGTCATGTCGGCCATCTTAATATATGTTGATGAACGCAACCCATTCCACCTCCTGTGTAGACAGGAAGTTAAGAAACAAAAATTACAGAGTCGGAGCACCTCCTTCCTGCTGAAACCCATGAAAAACTTTACTTAAATGAACAATGATAACTGGTTATAAAACATTTAATATTCATAAAAACATAAACAAACAAGACCATCAGCGATAAGATTGAATATTTCTATATAGTTATTCTTAATGCCTGCCCATGGGTTGGATTCCCCTTGAAATCAATGAAACGAGGTGGTAGAAACTCTACTGCTTTTGTCCAAAGGGGGTTAAAAAGGTGTGTGGGGCTTTAAATATAATATAATAAGGAACTGCAGCTCTGTCACCAAAGTAACGTTCAAACAATTGGACCATAAAACAACATTTTCCCAAGCAAACATTTTGAGATTCTTCCTGCAACTAATAGGCCATTTCCTTAACTCTGGGTAAATATTTCTTTAGGTGGGAAAACAACTTTCTTAGCGTCTAACTGTCAGAAATGTTAATTTTACCACTTCCTGTGTCACAGGAAAGAGCTTTTAGACAGCGTGAATGTTTTGAACAACTAATAAAAAATAAAGAGCTGGTCACAGCTGGATGAGAGCGAGAACGGGCGCTTATTTACATGAAAATGTCTGCAAGTGCAGCTCCTATCCTCATTTGGTCCGACTTATCACCACAAAGAAGAAAAACAACACAATGACTGACCTTGTAGTATCCAGTCTTTGCAAAAACCTGCAGGTTTCCATCTCCAGTCATTAGGGAGCCGTAGTTGGAGCCTCTCTGGAGACAGACACAGGATCAGTGATCGAGAGTGCTTTGAACACACAGGACTGCTGACACAAAGTGCTTCATATTATGGAGAACACAGGACACAATTATAGAATGGAACAAGTATAATAAGTGACAGAACGAGTACATCACAAACTCTCGCAAACTGTGTGTGTGTGCTGACCAGTGACAGTGTGAGCCGACTGCCGCTGCGCAGCACTTTGTCCAGGTTGCTCATCTGGATGTCATCCCAGCAGATCCTCCAGAGCTGAGCCACGAGCTCTTTCTCCAACTTCATCTTCCTGCAGAGAAACAGAGACGCAGGCTACAAACCAGCTCGGTATCTTCTTAAGCACCTTTAGCCATTTGGAGGAGTTTGAGGATATTTGGTCATTCATCAATTGAAATGACTGAATTTGTCTCTGAAATTCCAGGTTTTCTAGGTTTTTCAAGACATGCGGGAACCCTGACAGTCCCTGCGTCCCTTGTTAGAGAGATTACAGCTAACGTACAGTATTGTCTTTTTGGGTCAAATAAACACAAATCGTACAGCGGTACAATTTGTGCAAATGACATAAGGTGAAAATGTGTTTCCCTTTATGTCTGAATTCACCTTTACAGAGACTCAGCACATGAAACAAAAAGATCACTAGCCACAGGAAAACACAGCTACCAAAAGAACACAGAGGACCCAAACATTTTCAATTCAGACACACAGAAGACAAGCAATATTTTCTGTCTCCAAAGACAAACACTGGAAAAACATTCTTCCATACTTCCCTAAATTTGCCTCAGAAGTTTCCGTGAATTAAACTGTGAAGACGAGCTCACAAACACTGATTTTATGCAAATAAAGAACACTGTATTTGAAGTTATGAAAAAGAACCACATGTTGGGTTTGATACTGAAACGCTGCAGCAAACTCACAAATCAACAGTTTCGAAGCAGTGTGCCACTGCTGCTCGCGTTGGTACAGAAATAATCACATCAAACATGACATTTAAAGCAAACTGCCTCACTAGGTTTCTGAGACATACGATTGGTTTGTTGATTAGAAAACAGGATTTAGAGAGCATCTTTCTTTCCGGAGACTCGTGGGTGGAGAAATCCTCCATCAGTGCTTCATGAAAGCAGTGTAGCAGCTAAGGTGCTTAATCAAAACGCACAGCTGCAGCTCTTACCTGTAGATGAAGACAGTGATAGTGAGGGTCATCGTGAAGATGAAGAAGAGCACGATGGAAACCATCTGGTGGATGGTGATTGTCTCTGTCAGAAAAAGAGAAACAATTTAACCTCTGCATCCACTTTCTATTCAAAGAAACAACTGAATGTAATGCCCTGATTACTTTTTAAGACCTATTTACAACCATTATGAATCCAATTTAAAACCTATTTGAAATACATACTGACAAAGGATATGATGGTTTCATGTTGGTATTGTTTTGTAGTTTTCACAGTTTAAATGACCAATACAAATACAAGAGTCAAAAATATGGTAAATGGTAAATGGACTGTACCTGTAGAGGAAGGTGCTTGGCAATAAAAAGTGATTAATACATAAAAAATAATACGCAAAATGCTTCAGAATCTTACACATAGAACCTTTAAGGTATTTTAAGGCCTTAAATTCAGATTATTGGATGTTTTAAGACTTTGCAGACACCGTGATGATAGAATGTTTCACAGTGAATCACAGTTTTGAGGATTCACAGGGTTCATACAAAACAACTGAACTAAAAATAAATTAAGTTGCACTGGACAAATCTTAACGCAGCGTGTGCATGACTGAAGTAAACGTGATCCTGTTTTGTCCACTGACTTGCGAGGCAGATGGGGTTGTCGTTCTTGAAGCCACAGATGGGAACATCAGGAGGACAAACTCCACCCAGCCAGTGCAGTGTTGTTCCAGGTAACGCTGTCAGCTGCTCCTCTGAACTGTTGTACACCAAAACTATCTGGAATAACACAACATAAAATTGCAAGATGATATATACGGGTAAGACATTCATCAGGAGTTCCTTGTTTTGCTAAATATCACCGTAAAGTCAAACAGCATGGCCAGGACAGTGATTTGTGCTTCTTGAGTTTGTTTTTTGCAGATGACACTCTTCTCTTCCTTTAGAATTATTACAGTAATGGTGGCAAGCTAACCTCCCAGTTCAATGCTAGAGTATCAAGGGGAATTAAAGGACCACTGTGTTGGATTTAGTGACAGCTAGTGGTGAACACAGCTAAGCCTTCCAAAAACATAGGAGAAACTACGGTGGCCATGAAACTTGCGAATATAGGTGAAAGGCCCTAGGGAGCCAGTGCTTTGTCTGTTTTGGGTTACTGTAGAAACATGGAGGTTCAACATGGTATATATATATATATATTCAAGACATTTTAAGGCCTAACATTCAGATTATTAATTTTTAGACTTTTAAGACCAATGAGACATCCTGTAAACATTACTTTCAATTGTACGTACATTACTTAGAGTATATACTACATAAACTATTTATATTTAACGCTACTTAACACCACTACATGTCAGAGGTAAATATTGTACTTTTTACTGCAGTACATTTATTTGACAGCTGGATTTACTTTTCAAATCAAGATTTTACCTACAAAATGTTGTTTTTTAAGTTAAGTAAAATACAGTGAATTCTTTACCCCAATCTTTTTGGTTTGTGACCAGATCTTTAAGATTTCGAATAAAGCTATTAGAAACTACCAGACATGAAGTAGAAGAGTCATTTTGCAGTAATGTGACATCTTTATGGTTTGTCTTTAACAAGCACTACACACTTTAGATGGGTGGACTTCTATCACTATGGCTGAACAGAGTTTCTTACATAAATCCTGACTTAGTTCCCAGAGGATTCACAGGATTACAAAGAGACGACAAAGGACAGACACAACCCCCACACTGAGATTCAGAGAATGACAGAAACTATTAGAAAGTGTGAGGCAGGCTGATGAAAATAGGGAGAGGTGTGATGGTGAAACAGCGTGCAAGGAGGAAAGAGATCAATAAGTGTGGACAAAAAGGAAGAAAAAAAGTCATGTGTGAGTGAATCTGTATCTCACCTCTTTGACTTTTACCTCTCAAATTTTATCCTGATGCTCTTTTGAGGTCTCAAAACATTTACATTTCCTTCCTGTTTGCACTTCTTCCACCAAAACCCAATTTAGATAAGATTTAAACGGCATTGGGCTCGTCACTCAAAAGAAGTAATGTAATATACATTCTTTGTTACTTTAATTAAAAAAAACTAATGCTTTACTTAATTAATTCCTGTAGAAAGTAGTTTGTTACACTTGCTTACCAAACTATTCAGGTGGAACTAATAACCTTAGTTACCTGTTCTTTATATGTCAAAATGTGAAGGAAAGTGGATGACAAGCAGCAAAGGGCCACAGGTCGGATTTGAACCCTGGGCTGCTGCAGCAAGGACTCAGCCTCAACCAACTGAGCTAACCGGGCACCCAAACAATATCATTCTGGGGTCCGTCAGGTTTATGGGGACAAATATGCAGGATCTCACAACTTTAATGGGCTGTTTGAGGGCTCAGACATAGTTTCAGGGTTAAGGTAAGGGAGAATGCATTATGTCCCCAAGAAATACAGTGTGTGTTGACCTGGAAGGCGCTGCTGTTGGTGTCCATCATGTCCCACAGAGCAAAGTTCGTCTCTCTGTCTCCATTCTCATCCAGTTGCACTGTGCCTGTTACACCTGAGAACATGAATGAAGACATAGAGTTTAGACGAACAGTTTACTAAAGTGAGTTTAGTAAAAACCTGCATATGTCAGGACAGTCTGCAGTAAGCCTAATGCCTAACTAACTAGGCTAGTTCCCTTTTTTGGGAACAGGTAGAAAGAATTGGTGAATTAACTTTAGCTAAGGGTAGTTGTAGCTATCTCACCAGCTAGTCTTAACTTGCTGAAGTGCTTTCACTGTGGTATAACCCAATTATAGGAGCTCAAGTCCTCCTTCATCATCTCTTTTTCAGTGTTTGGTCAAGATTACTACCACTTAAGACTTTCAACAGTGTATCCATGACTCATTTCCCTTACAAATATGTGGGTATATTTCTATTTTTTAGCTGAGCTACTCCACAATCTTTCCTCGTACCCCCTGGTGACTGTAGAAGTACCCCCCTTGAGTACAAGTGCCCCTGATGTGGTAACATTTGATTAAATCAAAGAAAATAAAACCAAAATATAACAAACAATGGAAATCTTTGTACGAGACAGAAAACTCAGAGTAGCAATTTGTCAGCTTAATTTGACAGAAATCTATTAAATGTGCAGCACCAGACCAGAGTCTGTGCACCACTATGCATGCAAATGAAGCATAAATAAAATCGAGAGAGACGGAGAGAGAGATACCCAGCAATAAAGAAAACATTTAAATTAATCCAGGAGCAGCGTCCATTACAAATAACTAATATTAACTGATTAACAGAGCAGGGCCGAGAGAGGAACACACACACTAATACAAGCTAGGAGAGGAAATTCATTTGTTTCTGCTGCTGTGAAGAAAATAAAACAACTGATGTGAGACAGATGTAGCTGTAAAGAATATTTACTCCAGTCTGGACTGAAAGTTCCCAAACATGGATGAAACATTATGGAACCAGTGCTGGAATGTAAATAAGTACATTCATGCTATTTTCTACTTCTACTATACTACATCTCAGAGGAAATATTGTATTTTGTACACTAAATTTATCTGACAGCTTTAGTGTCTTTACAAATTAGACCCGGACAGAAGCTGTGCTGGCCCCGGTCGGACTAAATGCTGCTCCTGGTTAATGTCCGGTTTTGGATGAAATGGGCCAAACAACAGAAAATCAGAGACTGTTGTGCCCACATCTTTACAGAGACCAGCTCCATCAACATCCTGGATCAATACTCCACAGACAGATCGTATTCGAAGCCGACAGAGAGGTGAGAGATGAGAGGAGGCGGACTCTGTTTACACGGATGATGCTTGATGCTCAGACGCAGTCAGACTGGATGGACACCGTTTCTATTTATGTGAAGATGAAACTATATTATCATTACTATCTTGTTGCTGCTGTTTACATTGAACCAGACACAAATTTAAAAGACAACCTACAGAACTATTTCCTGGGTGTATATATATATAGATTATATATATTATACAGGTTTATTTTATTCATTTTCTGTTCTATAAATGGAATTATCTTTTTCTACGTGTGTAGCATGAAGGAACTGAAAACTTTCATTTTGTTTTACAACATTGTGTATAATGACAAATACATCTTTTAAGTAAAAAAAAAATGCAGATTTTTTTTAAATTAAACTACGTAAAGTTTATACAAGTACAGCTGAAATCATTAGCCCATTAACCAACTAGTCGTCTGACAGAAAATCTACTATTTTCATAATCATTTTAGTCATTTTGGTTATTGAAGATTTTCTGTTTTTCCTTTGAATAATTGTAATAATGTGAATGTATTTGTGATACTTTTGGACTGTTGGTTGCACTAAACAAGCATTCAGAAGGTGTCACTGTACTCTGGGTCATTGTGACGGGATCTCTCGTTATTTTGGACATGTTTACAAAGCAAATAACCAATGGATAATGGAGAAAATAATCAGCAGATGACTCCATAATAAAAAAGAATCATTACTTGCTAAATGAGCTCCACTTCAACCAACTCCAACAGTAAAATCATACTTTTATATTAATGCATGAGTCAGAATAATCTAATGATATATATATAATAGTACAACATTTAGAGTTTTAACTAGATTTTACTGATTATATATTATATATAAGTATCATGAATGCAGGACTTATACTTGCAACAGAGTAGTTCAGTGTGGTTTTTGTACTTTTACTGTAGTAAATGTTCTGAAGGATCTGCTGAGGGGGGCTAACAGCACCTCTCGGATTTGTTGATGGAAAAATCAAAATGGCCATCAGAGGTTAATTACTGCCAATTAGCAGTTTGTGTGTGTGTGTGTGTGTGTGTGTGTGTGTGTGTGTGTGTGTGTGTGTGTGTGTATGTGCGTGTATATGTATATATGTAGGGCAATTAAGACCCAACGACTTGTCTCTATGGAAACAAGGTAATTAGGGATCAGGGGAGAGCCGGCAATGGTTGGTCAGAGAGGTCACACATGAACAGTTGAAGAAAACAACAGAAGCAAACATGTAATAAAATAAAAAATCACATTAAGCACCGTAAAATTATTAATGTTGTTGTTGTTGTTGTTGTTGATCAATGTAAATAATATTGAATAAAACGGACATTATTCTTGTCCACATTAATCCTGGATGTACACAATGACTCACATCAGTTGTTTTATGGAGCGTCTCTATGAAAATGCTGGTTTTATATATTTATTTGATCCTTTTATTGTTTGGCTGTGACAGTTTTATGGTTTTACCACGTTTTATTTCTTCAACGAGGCCACGTTATGTTGAGATATTATGGTTTTGTTTTATGTGAAGCACATTTTCTTATCTGTTAGATTGAGACTGCAATAAAGTATTCGATTTTGAGTCTTTCTCCGGTTTGGACCTTTTTCAGGAACTGAATTAACCACAAAATAAATAAATCAGGGTGAGAGTTGTGTAAGCTAATCTTCATGATAAACAACTGTAACTAACACCTCTCATGTATGGAAGAGAGAACATGTTAAACCTCACAAAATAAAGCAAATACAGCAGTAACATTAAGAATACTTGATTTGTGGGAAGATTATAAGAGTTATATGATCAATCCTGACCAAACTCACCAAATGTTTGTCTAAAATATATTAATTTTACCCTGCAGAATATCATATTAGGATTTGAAAGTATCCTTAAACAACTACTACTTCAATTAATCCAATTTATTTTAAACACACACAAAAAGAAATAATAGGTATGAAGGAAAATAGTATTAAGCCATTACCATATACAGTATATTTACACTAACTATATATTATTTGTAACTATAGTAGTTTCTGTTTTGGCTTCTTCCTTTAGTGCTACAATAATCAAAGTGTTATTTCCTAATTACAGCTCGTTCTATTTTAACAGAAAAAACTGATTCCTCTTTTCCAATTCAACTCAATTGATTTATGTGTATCATGAAAAGGGCTGCAACCGCACTTCACTGGCAAATTCTTTATTGCATGACAAGAAAACCAAAGATATATATATATATATAATAATAAGTCAGAAAGCTGTAAAAACAGGGCAGCTGGTTTTTGTTCTGATGACATGTAAAGCGGTGATGTCAGGAGGGAGCGGGGTCAGAGTGTCAGATAATGAGGTGGCGAGCGGCGGTCAGGTGTCTTTATGTTGGAGGATGACATTTAGAGATGAGCTCATTGGACGATGGCGTGCTCCTGCAGCTGAAATGTCAGAGCTATGAGATCTTATTAAAGCTATTATATCTTGACCACACACACACACACACACACACACACACACACACACACACACACACACACACACACACACACACTTGGGTTTCCATCACTTCAGAGGACATTACATTGACTTACTGCATTAATTTCCTAGAGACTTACCTTAACCCTAACCCAAGTCTTCACCCTAAAATTGAGTAATTTACATAATGGAGACTTGTGTCCACATAAGGAAGACGAGTCCCCACACTGTGACTGTGTAACTGTGTCCCCACACTGTGAGTAATACACTGAACCATGTGAGGTTGTTATCATTAACCTCAGGGAGTTTTATGTGTTCCTGGTAAGTGATACATTGCTTTCCAGGAATTAGGGTGTGTTTGGTTTTATATTGTATGTTTTATGTGTCTGTGTCTCTCTCTCTCTCTGTGTGTGTGTGTGTGTGTGTGTGTGTGTGTGTGTGTGTGTGGTGAACAAAAGACAAGTGAAGGTTAGCATTTACAACAACAGAAAGAAATTAATCATTCATCTGAATCTTTAACTTCTGCTTTCTCCAGTGAGCACAGGAACAAACCAGGATGTGACAACTCTGACATTAAATTATCTCTCTGTAAAAACTCTGTGCCAGAGTTTGTGCACTTATTGCGTTTTTTAAAGCTGTGACTTCAGGGGCTTCAAACGTTTGTCGCTGGCTTGTGGCGAGCAGTGTGTCTCAATTGGTGGATCCGCTGTTTGGATCAGAAAGCTGCGAAATTAGATTGAAATCAAACATCACGTTTGTAAAGATTTCAAAGACGCGGATATAAAAAAGGGCAGTAACTCAGTAATAGGAATAATATTACTTTCCTCAGTAACAAATAGCGTAAATCATATCTAATACATTTCAGTAATAATTACATCCCCCCAAAAATAACCCCCATACTGACAAAGAAAATTAGTACCATTTACCCGCCTAGGCTTGGAGGTTAACGGATTACTTGTAATTGAGTTACATAATCAGGATACCAAAAAAAAATGCATAATTGCATCAATACTTCTTATTTATATTTCTTTTCTCTGGTCTTAATTTGCATATGTGGTGTTGAGGAAATCCAAAAGTAATGGAAAGTAATCCAGTTACTTTAATATTGTGATACTTGGATTAGGTTACATACTGCATTTTTTAACAGGTAATTAGTATTTGTATCGGATTATATTTTTAAAGTAACCCTCACAACCCTACAGTCTACAGTCTGTAGATACAAACAGCTCATTCTAAGGTACAGGTACAAGAATTCAAACAGGGCACCTCTGGGTTTGTCTGCTGCCTCTATCCACAATTTCAAAAAAACCCAAACTAT